AAATGAGTCTAAACGGATGACTCGAGGTGAAAGGTGTCCACCACCTTCTCAGAAAAGAAAACGTTTGTTTTTTTGTCCCTTTAAGCGGTGAACATGTCGATGACACAAAACTGTGTGTGACCAGAACAGCATGTTAGCCCTGCACAGGCTAAAAATACTCCATGGATTGGAGCTTTGCAAAATTAGGAAGCCTTGAGTTAGCAGGAAAAATAACAGTTATAAGGGGGGCGGGGGGGGCTACTGAAGTCTGTCCTACTTTTTCAGTCAAGAGAGTTTTTAAATAGATGCTCGCATGCCCGTGAAGCCCTTAAAAAAATAGGAAACATCACACAAAAAAAGAAGAAGAAACACACGGGAAAAAATAGAAAGGCTGCTGTGAGGTGAGCGAGGCTCCAAGACTTTCTTCCTGCTCGGGTTCACGAGGCATCTTGACGCGCTTCCTCTTCCTGAGTGGACTGAGCAGGATGCTGAGCAGCGGGCCACTTTGGCATCAGTGGTTTTCCTTCAAAAGCCCCATTACAGCTAATCACACGGGAATGAATCAGAACAACACCTGATTGGGATCGAACACATTAAAAAACAAAAAAACAACCCGGTTTTATGTGAAAGAGCGTCTAATTTTTTATAGGACAGATCTGTAATATCCATATTTTGTTTCTGGTTGACAGAAACAGAAAAAGGCTGTGTCCAGTGCTTATTGCTGCTGTCGTCCACCATAAAATACGCTCTCTGCTGTTATCTTACGCTGTAAATAAAGCCCAGCGCTCTTTGTCTTATCGGCCTCCTACTGTCTCCTCATGAGGTCACAGCGATCCTGCTCTGATCTCCTGCCCGGGTCCAGAATGTGTGGAAACAATGCAAAGCAGGCCGGGGTCAGCGCCGCCGGGGGGCCGGCTGTTTGTGGCCTTTAGCTCGGCCACCTGGCCAGAGGAGCGCTCAGGGGCCTGTCCTGCCTCCAGCTTCTGGCTGAAAATAAAACGGAGAGGTGACGGCCGACCTATCAACGGTGCCCCCCGCAGAGCGAAGCATGCGCCTATTTTTTATCCTCTGGAGCTAAAGACGGGCACTTTGATCGCCAGGCAGAATTTTCTCATGTCCTATTTAATGATTTTTACTTATTACTCAGTATTTCTATTTTTAATCCAACCAGGAAAGAGCATACAATCTCCAACTCTTAGCCCTCAGATCTACATCCAAACTATGTAATTTTTTTGAGGAGTTCCTACTAAAATCAACTCAACTTTATGATGAATAAAAAGAAAGAAAACACAATGATGAAGATATTCTTCTGCAAGACAAAACAAAAAAAGAGTTCTGACATACTGAATGTAGCTCCCATAAAACTGTACTTTAGACCAAGCTGAATTCAGAGAAAACAGGACAACTGTGGAACCTTAAGTGGCAAAAATCACAGAATAAATGGAACAATTAGCATAGCTGGCTCCAGTTCTGCTGGGAGCCGCACCACGTGGTCTGCTTTGGGTCCTAAATAACTGACTTTAGTCATGAAAGAGATATTAAAGATAACATAATCACATCTCATCTTCATTTATATCACTGGCTATTAAAAAGGAGCAGCGCTGCCTTGTAGGGAAAAAAAGCCCCCATTGCCAACCCCTTTAAGAGCAGCCTGCCGTGTTTGTGGGCCGGGGACAACAACAAAAAAAAGACCCACAAATAGTTGGGAAAAAAAATCCTACAAAAGGAAAGTGATAACTGGTGAGAACACAAACAGTCAAGTGTTCGGCTATCTAAACTCTTATGAGGCCTCAGTCTGAGGCAGAGGGTCAAACCCCACTGTGGTGAGTCTTGAGATAAAGACAGATCCCTGCATCCGCTAGCTAATCCTGACTGAGAGGTCCTGCCAACACCGTTGGGATAAACCCGTTTGAGCCACCACAGTCACTTAGTACACGCGCATAAATACGCACGATCACAGGTGGGAAAAGAAATCTGCGGAATGATGTCGGTTTTTTGTGGTGGCTGCTACGCATGCTAACAAAAAGCTGCGGATGTGTTCACTGTTCTGGTTCACCCGGGTCTTCCACCACCTCCCACATCCAAAAGACTCAAATCAGCAAATCAGAGGCTGACGGTTCGGCTCCAGACTCCCGAAGTAACAGAGATACACGGGCTCAATTTGCCTAATCTTCCAGAAAGAGACGTCTTATTTAAGCGTCCTTATCTGAAACCTCTCCAACTTCACTTCCCTTCACATACTGGAGATGCCTCAGAAACCACATTCAGCACCGGCCTCCTTCTTTAAGGTGGGCTGAGACCATGAGGAGGGTTAGATGACCACGTTTCTGCCAAACAACCAGGAGAACAGAATCCTGGTTTCAGATTAACAGAGAGACATTTACATGGGAAATTAAACAATGACACAGCACTTTAAACCATGCATCTCCCATTTAAGAGATAAAATGAATACAAATATTTCCATATAATCATCAATAAAATATTCTTTGCTGGGCCACCATCATAAAACAGAACTGCTACTGGTATCGGGATAATTCATTATTCAAACTGGGGCCATCCTGGCATCCCTCCTCACCTGTTTAAATCCTGCCTGCCATAAAGCTATAAAGACCTCGTTAACAGGCCACCAATCTGCCCATAATTGTCCTGACCGGTGCTCTACTGACCATCGCCCGAGCTCCATCCGCTTGCAGGCGCCAAAAAGAAAAAAAACTATTTCACTTTTTACAGCAAGGGACGGATTCATATGTGGTCGACCAAAAATGCAAATCACGACTGTGCACGCCTGGAGGCGCGTGCACGCGTGGTTTCAGAGGGGGATAGCCGTGGAACTGGTGCCCCAAACATAAAGGAACCAGAGCTGGGCTAAAACAAAAGGCCACTTTTCTTTTTTTTTAATGGACTGGTTTGTCCTTTTGCATGCAAACCGTCTGCAGTGCACGAAAAGCTTTGCAGTCTGACCACATTCCCCGGACATCCTTAAGGAAAATAAGTTTAAAAAAACACATTTTAGGGCCACTGTTAACGTGCACTGAAGGCTTAACTTTTAACAAAAGAGAAACAATAGGGAGGAGCAGAATTGGTTAAGGACCGTGCACCTTTTTTCTTTTTTTTTTTAATTAGCAGCTGGCTACGTTTAGCATCATTTATGCATTTTCTTTTCTTTCTTTTTTTGAATGCACATGCAAAAAGGGGCTAGCTGTTTGCAGGCTGGTGCTCAGACACTAAACCCTGGGGGGCTTATGGGGGGCTGGAGCCCGGAGGGACCGGCTGCTGGTACCAGTTGAGCCCCGAAAACTGCTCATGTGTGGCGGGCCGGGACGGTGCAACAAGCCCCGCTCCGACCCGGCGGAAATAACCCACTTCCACAGTACAAATGCCACCAGTAGCCGAATGTAACAAAACCGTTCCTCTGACCTGTTGCGTCCTCTCAGCCGGATTCATCATCACAGCCTGCCGAAAGCTGTTATCCACATAAGACGCCATTGTTTTCCGAGGAGCCGTCTGGAAGATGCTCAGTTTTTTTATCCTAAAAAAAAAATGTTTAGAGATATCCAGCGGCTGGGGTATAAACAAAAGAACTCCCTCCTTTTTTTTTCTTCTTTCTCGCGTTGCTTAATTCTTGTTGGCCGTGGTCCGAAGCTATAGCGGATAAGCTGGGAGTGGTGCCCGGAGCCAGGCCACGACCGGAGCCAGGCAGGCGAGGGGCTCCCCGGGGGTCGCGGTCCCTCCGCCGGACAACCGAAACCGGGCCCCGCGCGGGGGAAACTTCGTCAAAAAAAAAAGAAAATTAGCTCGAGCAATATTCGTTGAGTTATTTCCTAACTGTGAAAGGTGACGTCCCCTTGTTCACGCCAGCGTTAGGTAAAGCCGTTCCGTGGGTCTTCGGCATAGCGACGGGAAGAAATTCCATGTAGGACCCAACGGTGGAAAAAAAGTGAGCTGAAGGCTAGCCCGTGAACAGCAACCCGGCGTCCATTATCGGAGCTCTGCCCTCACGAAGTCACAGAGAACACTCATTTTGGGAGTGTTTCACGGCTCTAGAAGTGCGGACTGCTCCACTGCCGCTGCCTTGCTCTGTTGTGTGCCACCACCATGGTGACTGACACAATAATCCCAAAGCCGGAGCGAATTAGCAGTAGCGCTTCCTGTTCAGGTTTTCAAATTAAACCGGTGTAAGCGTCAACTTTGAAATCCATGTAAACGACCAGGAGGTGTCAACGGATCGTCTTTATTTAGGTCTAAATGTGGAACAGACGTTATTTCAGCTGTCAATAATGTTATAAATGCAGCACTTTAATGTGCCCCTTTCTTCGGTAATGTCACCGTGTACCTTTTCCTTAGATTGCATTGGTATAAATGTCTTCGTTCTTACTTTTCCTGAGGACACAACGTTTCCTTTCTGATGTTTCAGCTCAAATCAAATATTACATTTGTTGGATTTTTATTTTTTGGTTAGGATGGTGCATTGGTGTTCAAACAAAACGTGAGCTCTGCTGTTATTTTGAAAGTGATATGATTTAATTTTATTTCCAGTCGTTGTTGTTTATTTTTTACTTGACAGATAGTCTTAAGGAGCAGGCTTATTATGGGCGAGTCTATTCAACAAAGAACGGAATGAGGGCTTTGATTTGCAAAAGCGATGCTGTGGCGCCACCTAGTGACCTTATGGGGGATTACAGATTTATATACACTTAGGGAAAGAAATTAATGAAGCAATTTTCCTTTAACATTTCATAAGGAAAGCATGCAATATCTAAAATTATTTTCATGAATAGTGTTTCCTGTCCTTCTGCTTTGATTCCCATCGACTCTATGAAATAATTTTAGGTAAATGAGCCTCAATGGTTTTATTAAGTGGGCATGGCTCAACAGCTGAACCCTCCCCTGTTTGTTAAATGCAACAAGGTTCAACGACACCATGACAACCGCTGGTTGCATTACATGCAGACTTGACCCCATAGACAGAGCAGACCGCTTGTTAGCAATCCACGCAACAACGCAAACATAGGAGTGGAAATATGACGCATAGACGCGGTGCAGCATCAGACAGGCCGCCCTGTGGGAAGAGGATGATTTTTACAGGTAGGAAAAGCAATTATTTAACTGAGGGAAATGCTGTGAGGTAACAAAGCAAAGGTGTTTCTACAAGATGATAAGAAACCGTCTGTTGCCTGGCAGCTTTTTATTCATTGCGCATCAAACCCCAAAGGTCTGCACAGTTTATCTACTAGGAAACAATTATTTGCTGCCCTGTAGATAAACCTGTAAGTGGAGATGTTCTGGCTCTGTAACCCAAAAAAAGCAGACTGACATACAGTAGACATCCACTTTTCACAGATAATGGTTCAAAATTCATTCTGAATACAGAATTGTGCATGTAGGATTTTTTTAAAAAAAGGTTGCATTTGGTTTGTTTAATCTTTGCCTTATTGTTAATCTATTCCACCTAATAATTTTTGTTTGGGATGACATGAACCTGAACATGAAAACTGAAGCATCTCTTCTCTTTAAGAATTCAACAAGGACCCCACGTATGGAGCTCACATTCTGTAGGCTCATGTTATCACTCCTGGGAGACCATTATAAAGGTGTATCTAGCCTGGAACTATTCAGTAACAGCTATATAAAAATGATGAGGAAATAGTTTTTATAAAGAAAAAAAAACTGCAGGTGTGGCCCGGAATGCAAAAAGAAGGATTTTTACCAGTGGGAGCAGCTTATGATCATATGGTCTCAATCAACTTAACCAAAGAGCACAACAAGAATTCCTCCCAAATCCCCCTACACCTCATAGAGGAGGACTCGGATGGATTTCTTTATTGTTTCTGTCTTCTCTTTTCTCCCGTGTCTTGACACTGATCAGGTCCAGATGGAATTGGGGACTATAGGCCGAGACCAAATGATTTCTCCCGATACGTGGGCGTGGGGGCCCCATCCCCCGGGGCCACAGGTGACCTCGGTTATTTGTGCAGGGCCGCGCCCCGGGCTCCACCACCCATGCCCAGGCAGAGCTACGTGGGCGAGGTGGGCTGGGGGTGGCAGTACAACCAGCTCCTGAACGGCCAAACCCTGCACAGCGATCAGCAAATTAAGGTAGGAATCAAAACTGACCAGCGTGGAGGCCGAAGCCAATGTCGTCTTTAGTTAATGTGGTACAGAGTCATACACAGTTTGACTTTTAGACACAGATGCTGATGATGAAACCTAAAGCAACTCAGTCGGCCCTGAAATAAACAGTCGCTGCAAACTGCCTGTAAATGAAGCATTTTTTCAAAACTCAGTCACATTTATCAGTAAGATACAATACGTGTGTGGCATCATGCTCAATTATCTCCTAATGCGATGCACTGTGAGCAGCCAGGGTGACTAACACTGAACTCTTTGTCTTGTTCCTGACAGAAAACAGAATTACGAGAAGCACTTGAGGACAGAGTCACCCAGAGGTTTCAGAACGACGAGTAAGATAAAACCTGAAACCCCTCCTCGAAACGTATCGAGTATCTTTTTTTTTTTTTTTTCAGATTCCCATTACATCCGTGCACTGGGCCAAATGGGAACATCTCAGGTTTGCGCAGTGTTGAGCCAGCGCATTGTAAGCTGTCTGCTTCCCCATCCATAATGCAACACTTCCACTTTAACAGGAACACACAGTGCCTCAAGCTGTGAATAAGAAATCCGGCAGACTGACTTAGAAACACAACCAACCAAAACAGTTTACTGACCGGAACACCTGGAAGGTTTATTCTGTACCTCTCCATTTTTCTTTTTTGACAAAATACCCTCAGTGTCATTATTTCCACTGCCTCTTTGCTCCTGAACGTAAATCCTCAGAAGTCTCGAAGGATATCATTATGTGTGTTGGCTTCAGGTTTTAATGAAAGGAAACAAACACACAAAAGATTGGATGCATAAAGTCAGAAAAAATTTTTATAAATGATTTGTATAAGCTCGCGTGTGCTCTGGTATTTGTCGTGAAATTTGACAGAAATCTGAGTGAAGGGTCACACATTTCTTCCAAATTCAAACTTCCATCTCTGTGGAGAATGGGGGGGAAACATGGAGAAAAGGCTTCGTCAGTTCAGCTCAAGCTCTACGGATTACCAAGACCTGGATGACTGAGATTCTACACACCAACACCTACTGCGGGCGTTCCGGTGTGTGCTGGTGGAGAGATGAGGAGCCAAATGTGGAACAGCGGCTAATCGAGGAAAGCTTTAGCGAAGCCATGAAAACAGAACTAAATACAAAACAAACCAAAGAGCCACGGGAAATATCCACAGTGACATAATGCACATGGCTAAGACCGAGTTTAAGACGGGTTTATAGGTCATGTTGATGACCACCATGTAGATGAAACTGAGGATAAAATGCAAGCACAGGTCTGAATGCATGGACAAAGTAAGCTTTATCAGCACAGAACTAAAGAATGATAGAAGAGAAAGGATAGCAGGGAATGAAAGGACAAGAAAATCAAAGTAGATAAACCCAAATGAGTCTTGACGAACATTTAAAAAAGAAAAAAAGCTAATCAAGGCTCAGCCGATGTGAGTACAATAATTCCCGGTCGAACACCGAGCAGATCTAGACCAGAACCATCCAGAAGCTGTGAGTCCAATCAGCCATCCCAGACTTCTGGATGCTGCAGTTTGAGCTCCAGCCCTCTTTTCCCCGTTGGGGAGTGAACCAGCAGTTTGTTCCCCGGCCACCGCCACTGTGTTTGTTATGAGAGACACACTGTGCAGAAAATAATGGGAAAAAATCCACACGCTCATTTGTTTCTGATTGGATCCCATGTGAAAGCTTTTGAGAAAAAAATATCTGTCAAGTGTTTTTTTCTAAAGCTTTAAGGGCATCAAACCAGAAACAGTGGCTTATTTTGAATTAATCATCGTTGTCCTTTACTCTGCACGAATATTTTCCAGACCACTTTTAGGGTGAGCACTTTCAATCCTTTTGCATTTTCTTATTTGTGTTTTTGTTCATTCTCAGAAACCCCAATCATGGTGAACCTACGTTCGCAAATAGAGGGCAGCTGAACCTCTTGTGTTTTATTTTTTTAAAGTTGCCTTGAATTTAAACACTTAGGACAGCACACATTAATCTTTGTCTCTCACTTTCAGCCAAATCACTTGTTCTTGCCAAAGTATACATGTTATAGCAACAAAAAAAAAAGACAAAGGGAGCAGCGGACAGCTGCAGATATGTGGACAGATGGGGATGAGCACAACACAAAGGTAGAACAAAATCTGACTGATGGAGGACATTGTTAATCACAACAACATGCAGCTTTGGAAAGACTAATATTCGGATATGCAAAAGGTGGCCTGAGACTCAACAGACAAATGTGAATATATAGATTATTCCAAGTTTCTATCTGAAATATTAAACTCTTTACAACTTCTTTACAGAGTATGTACTAATATACATACTACTGTACTAAAATACACTCACTTTCTCACTAGTTTTTATCACATTCACATTCATATTCCATAAAAAGTGTCCAATTTCAGTTATAAATACCACTAAGTAATTACATAAGAGACATGTCAGCATTATCCACATCTGTTCATGGGAAAGTTACAAAAACCCATGCATAAAGTCAAGTTCATGTGAGTTATTACAAGGCCAAATACCAGATTTCCCATGAGACGAACAAAAAAAAGTATTGTAGGAAACAACATGTCAACATGCATGGTGTTGCATGTTGACAACCCCTTTCCTTTTAAAAAGCTGATACACACAAAGTGTGTTTGAAAGGATGTGATGATGAATTATTAAGCGATTATGGAACAGAGGTGGCCTCATTAAACAACTGGGGCATATGCACAGTCATTACGGAGCCAAGAGTCCAGACGAGCACTGGTTAGTCTCCAAGAAAAACTGTCGGAGCTCTAATTTTCTTTTCGGGTGACATTCTGGGAAGCCGCTGGATCTGTATCTTAACAGATCTGTGAGCTGGGTCAGAGGTCACAAGAAATCCAGTGAGACGCTCTCACAAAACGTTCAGCAATCTCCAGATCTAATCTAACCCCCCCATCTCATTTCATAATGTCTTCTTCATCCGGAGAGACTGCAGAGAGCTTCTAAAGATAGACTAAAAACGCCGAGCATATTCCGAGAAAAACTCTTGAAGGTGTCCATATTTCCTTAATGCTGTTTATGTTACTCAGTCAGACTGCCCAGTCACTTTCAGCCTCTGGGACTTTTACATATATTTTCTGTTGATTTCCTTCCTTTAAGGTCCTTCAATCTGTTAAGATGTGTCTCAAAACAGAAAAAAATGATTAAGTGGAATCTTTAAAAGCTTAAAGGAAATATTCAGATAAATGAAATCGCATAGGAAATGATGATTCTCAACCCAAATGTGTGACACTAAGGCGTAGAAGAACATGAATAGGTTCAGAATAACGCGCCCTGCGGGGGGGGCCCGAAGGCCAGAAACGTCAGGCTAGCCTGATTGATGTCCTTCATGGCTTCGGCATGTGGGCTGTAATGCGTCCATGTTTTGTTTCCCCTCAGAAAGAACACGGTAGGTGACTCACAAGATGTCGACACCAGGTTTCAACAGAAATAGTCAGAGCTGACAGCAGATGGCATTCTGCCACCCTCAGAGAACGCACCTGACTGCTAATGAGACCTGTCGAGTTTGATTAAAGATCTTTTAATCAGTATAAAAAAAACACGGCTTCAGCTTTTTCTTACTGCCCCGAAGCCTGAATAATTCCATTTAAAAAATAAATGACTTGTTATTCACATCAAATAGACTCAGGATGCTCTTTCTGAAAGAGCCCTGTGGAAGTTATAGATATATCACGGTGCTTTATCAATGAAGAAGCACGGTAATTCATAAATCTGTGCACGCATTTGTTAAATCAGACACATTTTTCACATTTTGTGTTAAATAATTCCTCTTCAAAGTTCTGTCAAAATGCTCAGTGGGGGATTATACTCAGATATAGCACCAATTCCAAAAGTTGAGGATTTCTTCGAAAACTGAACAAAATAAAAATGGGTTACTGTCAGGTTGGTGTCATTTTTCAGAGGTCACTCACAAAGTGTCTCAGAAAGACATTTTTGATTCCCATTTATGGAGTACCAGGTAATCCATCCCTGTGGCGCAAGCAATCACATCCCCTTATATCCGGTGAAGATAACTGTACACATTGTTTACCACAAAAGAAGCCATCAATCTCACATAACAAGCCAAAGAGACATCCATTTCTCCGGGTCAGTGGCAATTTGTTGCTAACAGCGTCTCAACAATCGACCGGCCTTAAGCTGACCCTCACCTGCGGGCATGGTGTGGCCAAATATGTTGGGACAGAAATGCTGGACATTTTCAAGACAGCCCATATGTTTACTGGGAACAAACTGGTGATCAAAGTCAGTTAACTTGAGATTTGAATCCATGAGCGATTGGGTTTAATCTCAACAAAAAGGTTTTGCTGCGCGATTCTTTAAAATGTAAAAATAATAAATAAAAAAAGCCAATAGGCAGAACATGTGTGTGTTAATAATCTGAACCGTAATAAAGTTATGTATAATCAATGTGTGACATTACTTCAAAACAAGCTTTTGTTTGTTGTCATTAAGTTAAGAACACTTTTGCAGTCAAATATGTTAACAATGACAACACTGTTTTTAATATGTGATCAACAAAAGGTCAAACTAGGAAAATGCTTAAAATGATTCTTTTTCTACAATTCCATCACTTGTTTTTTAAGAGTCTCAAAGACTCACCCTTGGGAAATTTTGCATCTTCATAATCCATCCAAAACAATAATGTCTTTAAATATGTTTGCTTTAAACTTTTGTTTGTTCATTAGGTGTTCAGACCTAAATAATTCATTTTCTTTTTTATGTGTTCTTATTTAACAAAATCGTTGTATTCCTAATTATTTTGCTTAAGAGACAGTTGATTAGATTTTGGTTTGTTCAGCATGACAACTGTGGGTGTTTTTAACATGTTACAGAAACGGGTGCTTTTCACATAATGTGTTCAACCATTGTCATTTTGTATTTCCAAAACTGATTTATTTTAAATGCTTTTTAACACAATGGTCATATTTCATGTTTTGTTGTTGCAGAATCCCCTTTAGACTGTTGATTAATTGCATACTATATAATATTAGAAATGATGTCCCATTCATTAATAAAGATTTCCTCTTACTTCTATGAAATTGTTTTCGGTGTATTTTTATAAACGATATTGGAGTTAGCGCGGGTAACGCTCCTCGCTTGAACGGATGTCTGTTTTATTACAATTCAAGATTTCACAATAAGACACGTGCAGCGCATTGTGTACATTATGAATGGTAAAATAGTATCTGTCCTATTTATTTTGAAAGCGTTAAACGGAAGTTGTCGAAGTTGTCCATTCATAACGTTTAACCTGTCTCAGTGCACCGGTCGGGGTTTAGCTAGGTTAGCTAGAACAAGGGACGAGAAGACTCGCTAAAATGTCTCATCCAACTCCCGCCGAAAAGCCGTCCAACCCCGAAAACCCTCGCGTTTTCTTCGACGTTGACGTTGGTGGTGAAAGAGGTTAGGACGAATTTGAATACACGAAAGCAAACAGAAGAAACTTCAACAGTTAGCCTCATTAGCTTAGCAACTCCTTGGCATGTTCTGGTGTCTTCTCGAAACGAATTAATTGCAATGGGGTACAAGTAGTTGGGATATAGAAATAAACAGTTTTCCAAAAGGGAAATAATGTTTTTGTGATAGAAGTTTGAAGATAAACCGTTGGAAGCTTAAAGTTAGGACTGTAAATAAATGAGCCACGTGCGGTCGAATAAAGCTGAGAAAGGTCTAAACATAAACCTCAGCTGTGCTGTCACACCTCTGCAGATCAGTTTACAAAGCCAATAAATTAGGTAATTAGGGTTCATCTTGATCTGTACGCATATTACACCGTTTATTTCAGGTGTTTAGCAGGTGATAGACACCAGGATTTCTCAGACTAGAGAGAAGATGTCATTAACAATTCATAAAAAGGTTTAATGTTTTCTCTCTGTAGCTGGCCGGATTGTTATGGAGCTGTTCACTGACATCACCCCCAAGACTGCTGAGAACTTCCGGGCTCTGTGCACGGGGGAGAAGGGCCTGGGGAAGTCCACGGGGAAGCCGCTGCATTTCAAAGGATGCCCCTTCCACAGAAGTAAACACCCTCCACTTCTCATTTATCTTCTCATTTACCTGATGTTTGAGTCTTGAAGGACGAACAGACACACCTGGTGTTTGAGCTGCTGATGGGGCGCCATGTTGGGCGTTGGGTTTGTGTTTGAGGAGGAATAACATGCAAAAAGGTGCCACTGAAACATGTCCCTTTTGAAAAAAGAAGGCTTAAACACGCAGATAGTCATCTCAGAGCACAAATAATAAGATGCAACCTTTCCAAAAGTGTCACAAGAATTATTCAGTGTTTGAAATGCCAGCTCAGATGGTTAATTCAGCCTCTGTCTGATGCTATTCCAAGAAAAAAAACACCCCGGTTGATCCTAAGAAGCAGCTTGACCTTAAATTTGTTTTTCGACAGTCATCAAGAAGTTCATGATCCAAGGAGGGGACTTCTCCAATCACAACGGCACGGGGGGCGAGAGCATCTACGGGGAGAAGTTCGAGGATGAAAACTTCCACTACATGGTAAGTGAACAGTCCGTTTCTGAACAGTCAGTTCTCAGACCGTCGAAATACACGGGCACCACAGAATCTCTGTCTCTCCTTCCTCCCGCAGCACGACAAAGTGGGCTTCCTGAGCATGGCCAACGCCGGGCCGGACACCAACGGCTCCCAGTTCTTCATCACCACCGTCCCCACGCCGCACCTGGACGGGAAGCACGTGGTCTTCGGACAAGTGCTGAAAGGCTTCGGAATCGTCAAAATGCTGGAATCCATCGAGACCGAAGAGGACGCCCCAGTAAAAGTAAATCCCTCCTTTTTTTTGTTTTTCTTTTTTTCTAATAGAAAAAAAAAAAGCTAGGCTGACAGCAGCTGTCTCAGCTTACAGCCTGTTTTTTGTCCAGACCACAGCAGAAAGCGTGTTAATCGTGTAGCGTTCAGAGGCACGTTGACATGTTTCAAACAGAAAATGTCACTGAACGGGATCCTGAGGGGCATCTGTTACATGAGTTTTAGTTTGAAAGAGAGTCAGCAGTTCGTTGGAATAGTTCCCCGTTTGAAGCTCTGCAGCTTTTTTATTTTTTTATTCTTAGCAAACGTGTCAGTTGGAATTGAAAACCCGAGCATGCATGCCGTTATCTGAGCTCCCACATTTGCCAGAAATCACGAGACCCGCTCCGTGGGGGGGGGGGCTTTTGAAGGTGTGATTCTCTAACGTTGTGCCCTGTCCTCCGCAGCCCTGCGTCATCGCTGACTGCGGCGAGTTTCTGGACGGGGACGGCTGGGCCGGCCCGCCCGCCGACGGCACCGGGGACGTCCACCCAGACTTCCCCGAGGACGCAGACATCGACTTTAAAGACGTAAGCACCGGGGAGCGCTTTGATCCTCAGGGTCACGCGTTAGCAGCGGCAGATAGCATCAGAGAAACGGCGCCACCGGGACCCATGTGACCTGTTTTTTGGGGATCTGCTTATTTGCTGCACGGCGAGGCAGAGGACAGAGGGACGTTTTCACACTGAAGTCGAGAATGTTTGGCCTGGTTGACCTGGAAACAATTCCTAAATGAATTTCAATGGTGCATTTCAAGTGTCCAGTGTGGAGAATCTGATCTGCTTGTTTCTCTTCCAGTTATTTCAGCTGGTTGCGCTTTATTTTCCCCCCAAACTTCAACTTGTGCTCATCTTAGCAGCAGAAACAACTTTAAAAATGATTATTTTTGTCATTGTTCCATTGTTTTTTTGTTTTGTTTTTTATCGTTAACAACATTAAATGAAACCTAATGGCGTTTGTGTGTCTGTGCTCCTCTTTAAGGTCGACAAAGTCCTGTCGGTGGCCGAGGACGTGAAGAACATCGGAAACAGCCTTTTTAAGAACCAGGACTGGAAAGCTGCCGTCAACAAATATAGCAAAGCCCTCAGGTAGAGCACAGTGGGACTTTGTTTGTGGTTTGCTTTTCCGTCACACTCCCCCTCTGCCAGAAGTCAGAATTTGAGCAGCCCCCTTTGAAAGCTTCCAGGAAATAAAACGATTTCAAATCATCTGCATAAGTTTGAAAACACCGCTCACAGTGTTTGAAAGAAGTCATTGTGGTGGACGTTATGCATGTAAATACGAAGAGGTGGAAGGTGTTTTTTTTAGGGCCGAAACCATCAGTATCCGTCCCCCCGACAGGTACCTGGAGATGAGTGGAGACCACCTGGAGGAGGAGGCCCAGCGGAGGCTGGAGCCCACCGTGCTGAGCTGCTTCCTCAACACGGCCGCCTGCAAACTCAAGATGCAGCTGTGGCAGGACGCGCTGGACAGCTGTGACGAGGTGCTGAGTAGGGTTGTCAAAAGAATCCATACTCCAAAAAAGTTTAGATACTAAAATGTTGTATCCGGATACGATACTCATTTTCCAAAGTATCGATACCACCCTCCTTCTTTATGTATTTTTTTTACGTTGTTTATGGTCATTAACAAGACGTTAGCCTTGAACTGCTAGCTTTGGCTAATGGCTAATAATAACGTGCTACCATTAGTCAAGTACATATCCAACTCCGCCCACATTCAAGTCACCAATAGGGAGATCCCAGGCAAGAAAATGGTAATGCCTCATGGCAATATAGACATTCATTTAAAAATAGTGAAATTAATCTTTCGAACAGTTAATTAAACTCTATCTATAATATTATGTTAAAATAGTGGATGTTAAATAGGTTTGTAGAATAAGTCCAAAAAAGTTTAACCAAAAAATATTCATTTCATTGTAGGGTCAGGGTTAGGGTTAGGGTTAGGGTCATTAATACGGGCCACCAGTCACAATAACATCAGTAACAGGTCAGTTTGAAATGAAAGACACTAACCTGTCAAAATTCAGTTCAATTTTGGGGTCTTTGTTTTTATCTTTGTGGTATCGAAAATGGTATCGAGTATCTTCCTGAGTATCGGTATCGAGTTGAAAATTTTAGTATCGTGACAACCCTAGTGCTGACACACACACATGGGTAGCCTCTCTGAAGGGGAGCTGGACAGAAGTGCATTTTATTCCAGGATGCATCCAAGTCAAATCTTTATCCCACGTCATCTGACCCTCAGATACTTTTTAGGAGTTTGTCACAAGTTTTGTTTCCCTTCCAGGCTTTGGAGCTGAACCAGGCCAACACTAAGGCCCTTTTCCGGAGGGCCCAGGCCTGGCAGGGGCTGAAGGACTACAGCAAAGCCCTGGTAACTTCCACACACTGTCGCTTTAAAGAGGCTACACACACACACACACACACACACACATACGAGGGCCCAGTCCCAATTTACACTCTGGGCCCCGGCCAGCGGCTTTGCAAAGGCAAGGTGCCCCTTTCTCCTGCTGACCGAGAAGTGTTGGTCATCCAGAGCTCCAGCCGTCACCGTTTAGGTGGCTGTAGCACCATTGTTCACATCTGGAAAAAAGTGCGATTTTATCTAATTTCTTAAGGTTTTTCTCAGTCTTTTAGCACGAGTAAGAAATGAGTCATCTAAATAGTTCAAAGTAAACTCTAAAGTTGCTGACACTGCTTTAGCTGAATGATTCGGCTCTTATTCATATAAACCGTCCACACAGTCACCCTAAAGTCGTTTGACTTCTCAGTTCTTTTCATTTGTTTACTTTGCAGATTGATCTGAAGAAAGCTCAGGAAATTGCTCCAGAAGATAAAGGTGAGTTCTTATCCTTTCCGCGTCCTTCCCAGAGAGCGGGACGGCTCTCATTACCCAGCAGCACACGCAGCACTTCTCCGCTTCGCTTCGATCTGAATGTTTACTTTGGTTCACAGTATTTTTTACGCTGATTCATGCGCTGGATTCAAATTCAGCCCACACGCTCAGTCCCCAGGAACAAGTCAGATTAGTTTTTCCCTTATTATTTTCTTCTTAGCTGTTTTTCATAATTGGATTTAAGCAAAAAAGTTTAAAGATGGATGGGAGAATGTGTTGCTTTACTGATTCAGAATGTGGCTCAGTGAGCAGGATAGCAGCAACAGTTGGTCCGTATTTAGTTTGTTCAGGAGGCAGCACATCACCACTATGTTCAAGTTGAAATGCACCGGGTAGGATTGGGCGCCCCACAAATCTTTTTCAGCGTTGCTCTCTTTTGATATTTTAAGCTGCAGTTTATTGGCTGCAGGCTAGAAGATAAGAGCTATCACTGCGCTTCACGCTCTCCGTGGGCCTTCAGGAGCAAGCCGTTTCCAAGGAAAACTGTGTGTGCAGGAAAAACAGACTAAAAATGGCAAACAGGACACACCGGGGCTAAAAACACAGTTTGAACAGCCACCGTGCAAAAAAAATGCTTCCCATTTAAAAAACAGTCTGATTATTATCTGATTATTCCATCCATTTGCTCATTATTTTTTCCTCAAAGAATTGAAAACTTCTTTCTCTCAACAGCTATTACCAATGAGATGAAGCGAGTCCATCTTAAAGTCCAAGAAGAGAAGGAGAAAGAGAAGAAAATCTATGCCAAAATGTTTGCCTGAACACACGGAAGACCTCACGTTTCAACGAATTATCAACGGTTAATATTTCAAGTTAAGTGCACCCTCAGTAGGAAGGAGGAGCCCGTGGGCGCGGGAACATGCACAGTTTTGATTTGAGGGTTGTGTGGCACTTGGCATGCTTCTGTCTGTGTTTCACTGTGAACGTGTGAAGGCCTGTCTGCTGCCCGCAATGGTTGGAGCAGGACGTCGTAGCGGTTTCAGGTCGTTTTACAGTACGTCTGGTTTTATTTATGTTTTATACAGAAGCCAATAAAAAGCACTGGATAACCATCCGCGGTTTGTTTATTCATTACTGGGACGTTACATCATTATGTACAGTAACACAAAACGCTGTCGAAATACAGTGATGCTCACATTGCAACATTTTACAGGTTGTTCCGTTTCCTCGAAGCTTCAGAGAAAAGTTAACAGCTGCTGATCAAACATAAAACTTCTTAAAATGCCCCATGGAAGTGACTCCCACCCCTCCGGTTTTGGCTTACCTTTACATCCTTTACATGGTCCTGGGTTTAGCTAGCTAAGTATCCTGCTGTATTATAAATAATCGTACTTGTTGTGCGCTCAGACAGCTACACAGTTCAGATTTAGTAATTAGGCACGTGCGGGCAAGTACTGGACCCCTGAGTGTGGAGTACTTGTGTTTCTAGACCAACGGTATTATAAAAAAAGAAAGAAAAAAACAGCATTTACATCCCGTTGTAGGCGGGACCGCCGCCCCCCTCGGGCACCACCCAGTTGATGTTCTGGCTGGGGTCCTTGATGTCGCAGGTCTTGCAGTGGACGCAGTTCTGAGCGTTGATCTGCAGCCGCATCCCGTCCCCCGTTTCCACGGGGACGTACTCGTACACGCCTGTCAGAGGAAAGACACTGAGTTTATTTCCTACTGAGCGTCAGATTTTTCCTGTTTGGGATCATTTGTTTCATGTGAGGGCAGAACTAAACGGGGCACACCCGGTTGATATTTTCTAATCTCAGGTGTTAAATGAATCATTTCACTAAGTCGATATTGGAACCTTTCATGTAAAAACAAACAAACAAAAGGCTTCTGGTGTTTCCAGGACTAGAATTAAAATAACAGGTTCCGACCACTCCAAACACAGGTTGTATAGAGGGGAGCTGTTAATTCGTTGAGGGCTTTTCTCTGATTTTCCAAACACAATCAGGCACTGATTGCAAACTGGATAATGAACAGTTAATCTGGGTCTATTGGGAGCACACTGCTCTGAAGGATAATAAATGAACAAAGACCTTATGAGTGATATTCTTCTTTGCAATTTGTAGGAATGTAGAGAGCCAGTGGAAGACGTTAAAGCTGCAGCCTGATTATAAAAGCATGCTGCTGGGATTGTGGATTTCTTGGCAAAAGCTGGAAGCTGCCAAAACCTTTGATTGGAATTCCACAGTGATGCTGGCAGCTTAATCACAAATGCTTACAACATTGATCTGTCCCCTGATAACCGATACACGATTGTAAAAATCATTAAAATTGTGTCTGATGGGTAGAAAAATGCTCGGCAATCAGATAAATGACATCTTTTACCATCAGCTTCTTCTGACGCTCAACAACTTATAGTTTTGATTTAAGTATCGAGTTGTTTCGGCCAACTGCTTTAGTCCCATAATTATTAAATGGAAGTTTTGACCCGGCTGACCCAAAGCTACGGTGTTTACAGAGGTCTTTAATTGCTGTTGTGCTCTGGCTGGTCTCCCCTGCACTTTCTGTTTTGCCTCAATGGAAAATGAAGAGCGCAGCTGCATTTAAAGCCTCTCCGTGTCGGCTACAGACTACATGACAACGTCTCGCAGGTTCAAGAGACTTCAAATGACTTCAAAATGTCTTTAGTTTAGCCGCAATCGAACGGATAAACGGCTAAAACACTTTGGAGGCACGCTAGCAGTGAAAGAGTGCAACTAATGTTTGTTTTAAACTCAGTTTCAAGCTTATAAAAGAAGATAATTGTCATTTTCTCTCTTTAGAATAAAGACGGCAGCCAATCACGAGCTCCAAATTCCTAAAGCAAAATCGGCCAAATAGCGGATATGGATTCAGAGGTGTTGGTTTCACCTGAAGGTTGAATATTGCTACATTGAGAGCTCATCCCTCTCTTACAGCGGAGGGCTAACGGCTAGCTCTTATCTGGGTGGCCTGCTGTTGGCGGCCGTACCTGCGGGGCAGAAGCGCTGCTCGGGCCCGTCGTAAATGGCCAGGTTCCTGGCCACGGGCACGCCGTCGTCCTTTAGGGTCAGGTGTGGGGGCTGATCCCCTTCGTGGTTGGTGCCGCTCAGGGCCACGGAGGAGAGCAGGTCGAAGCTTATCTTCCCGTCGGGCTTGGGGTACTCGATGGGCGTGCACTCCTTGGCCGGCTTCAGCTGGTGTGCGTCCAGGCCTGCCGCACAGCGCGCACAGCGTGTGAGGAAATGTGCGTTTTTCTTTTGCGAATCTCCCAGTGCGGTCTGGATGGCGCCGGTCTAAATCAATGTGCCTGAGATAAACTGCTCTGCTCCACTGACTGCAAATGTAATGTCCGCAATGCATTCAACTTAAATTCCAATGGGTAAGAAAATCAAATAAAAAACTATCTTTTCTGTTTTTCTTGTTCCTTTCATTTGTCTCATGCCCTCAAACTTTGTGTCTTTTGAAGCAGGACACCTTGGTCTTGCTGTGAAGTGATTCTGTTCTGTAATACTGACCGCAGTGTTTGAGGGTCCAGGGCTCTTTTCCTCTGAAGATCCAGTAGAAGATCCCAGTGTAGACCATGCCGCCGTACAGGCCAAAGTAATTGTGGAAAGACGGCCGGATGTTCCTCACGGAGTACAGCTCCTTCCACACCCACGAGCTCTTCAAGTTTTCAGCGTATTCGTGGACGTGGATTCCTAAAAAGGTTTCAAGTAAAACAAACCCGTCTTATTGTTATTTCCCAGTCAATGTCCTGTTGAGATGTTTGTCCCGACCTCTCTAATGGTTTGGAAACATACTTCCAGGACTATGAAGGTTTTACAGGCTGGTAAAAACAAAGTTTTGCTAAAAACATAGAACCTGGGTTTAGTTTAAGAGGTGGGCTGCATGAAATTGGTGTAAGTGAATCTCACTCAACGGTGCAGCAAAAGGGCTTCTGTGTGTTTTCCTGCTTTTCTCCTCAAAGTCTAATTTTATTTAGGACACGCGCCATTAAAATGTCTGTTATTCTATGTGGTAACATCAGTTTTCCAGCCCACTACCTCTCCTGTTGAGAATGACTTCCAACATTTAACGTTTGGGCTGTGAAAGGATTTCCCTCATATTTAGCCTATCACACTTGATTATTTCTGATTAGACAAACAGAACGCAGAGTAACTGCTGATCTGCTGCAGGATCAGTGGGCTGGAAAAAGCGCATTTCTACAACTCCTGGTGGAGGAATTAGTGACGAACAACTGTCTGAAGTGAAACTGACACTGTGTGAAAAGCAATATTTCACTTACTCACATCACCACACAAATGTGAGGCTTAATTGGGGAATTTGCTTCCCTCTGAGGTAGCATTTAGTTGTAGCTTTCTACAGAATAGCTTCTGTCTCAACCTGGATGGATTTTTCTGACCACCGTTCCTGTGAGTATTACACTAATTTCTCATGAACTTCTCATGAACCCACTTGCTCCACACCGAACTATATTCTGTCTTTCATGGTGCGTTAAGCTTTTTTCTGAGGGCTCTGAATGCAACAGGGCAGCATCATGCTAATTATGAATGGGTCTCCAGTTTTGTACCTGCCGTCTCAGAATCCAGGCTCTCTGCAGTGACTTTTGGGAAAATGGCCTCGGCAGCCAGCATGCCACTCTTCATAGCCGTGTGGGTTCCTTTGATCTTTGGGACGTTCATGAAACCTGGACTGCAGCCAATCAGCAGCCCTCCAGGAAAGGTCAACTTTGGGATGGACTGAGGAGTTAAAGGACAGGGTTCACAGCAACATCAACCTCAGGTCTTCCGACAAGATTTCCTGAATTCTTTAGCCACTCAAACGCCACACTCTTGGGTAAATATGAAGTTAATTAGTGCGGTGCGGAGCTCGACTTTATATTCACCACAAATTTCACACATTAGGACAACCAGTGTCCTCTGGTCCTTTGCAATTAGTTTTAGCTGAATCGGGTCAAAAAGGATTAAATGGTATGCATTCAGTTCAATAAATGTTACACTACCCGAGACTAAAAAGCTTTTAGAGAGGATTTACTGATTTGTTCTCCCTCCAGCCACTAACTTTGTGGCTTAAAAATAAACAAAGACTGTGCATTCTGAATAAACGGAATTTAGTGGAAATAGCACAGAAATATCTGTGTGCATTTAAAATAATAATAATAATAATTCTGTTTCATCAGGAGAAATCAGTGTGTGAATCTCTCTAAACCGCCAAGCTGTGAAGTTTCAAATGAGAAGATAATCAGATATTGAACCATGCTTTAAGTTTGTGATCTCCCACCGAGGAGGGGTGGAGGGGTGGGATGGGTATCTAAAAGATCAAATGATATGACCAAACTTTGTCTAAAGACCTTTCATTAAAACTAACAAATAATAAATGAGATTAGAAAAAGACTAAAATAAGACTGGCTGGGACTTTTAAAAGAAGCTTTTGATCAAACACTTCACAAGCTCCATGCTCCATTTGATGGGTACAAACAATGAAATATGCATGTCCAGCTGAGAGCTGAGTTGATGTAAAGCAATGATTACTACTTTGTTTATTCAATAAACGTGATTAAATGGTATTTTTATGCTGGTGGCTTTGACAAGCAAGAGAAACTAGAGAAAATATCCGATGTACAAAAATACCTGAAATCCTCCTTCATTCAAGGCTCTGGCTCCATAAGCAATCCTCTGGCCTCCCTCCAGTGTGGACGATACGAAAGGGTGGTGTTTCCAGCGCTGGAACTCCCTGAAGGGGCTCAAATAAGGGTTGGAGTAGTCTAGACCAACCTGGAATCGGGGGGAGAAGAAGCGAGTTTGCAGAGATATAATCATGTGCCTCTGCTGATTTCCTTGAGCGGCAGCTCACATCTATTTGTCCCTCTGCTACCGAGAAAATGAATAGTACCATATCTATATTTATACATCAACCATCGGAACATTTACACAGCTATTATCTGGCTTTTGAGAGCAATTAAAAATGGTTTAATTGGCCTGCAGCCCTCCCTCAAACAGCTATGCTGTGGTTCTGAGTATTAATGACTCAGACTTGCATAAATTAGAGTACCTACAGTCACATGATCATTTCCACTGAGCAATCTGCAGTCTGAGTGGGCATAGCTCACACTGTCTTCCCAAAAAAAAAAAAAATTGTAGTCTATGGTATTCACAGCAACATCTGACAGAGAAAAGATAAAAAAACAAAAAGACTACATATGGTAAATGTCTGGTGGAGCTCAGACACAGTCCTGATGTGTGCGGCTGCAGAAATATTCAGCTAGCCTCATTATCTCAGCAGGAAGCTTAAAGTTGTTCTTTTCCCACTGAAACAATGTCGGCAAAGCCTGTCATTTATGCAAAACCGGTGTTAACAAGCTTTTCTCAAATTAAAATATCACTTAATTGTTGTTTTTAATTAAACATGGATGTGGGAAATGAATGGAAGATTGTGCTTTATGTAATTAATTCACTAAAGAACCCAACAGGTACGGCACTAAATGGGGGCTAAATATCAGGTCACTTGATATCGTCAAAGTCAAACTGGTGTGACAGCAGTTTAGAATAGACCAGATGGACGAAAAATACAAAGCCACTCACCACAAAGCCCAAGGCCACGAGAGGCTCTCCTTCATTGAGGTGATAGACGAAGGATCCTCCATATGTGTGTCTGTTCAACGGCCAGCCCACAGAATGTTCAGCCCTGCCAGGTTTCCACTTCTTCTCATCAATCATCCAGAGCTTTAAAAAGACACCAGCATGAGCACCTTATGACAGCATCACCCTCACAAATCAGTGTTGTGTTTCAAATGCAAACATATTGACGTCCTATAAATAAACTTTGTCTTAAAGAATTAAAAAGTCATCATACTAACATATATAGCTCATTAAAGATATTGGTAAAACCAGATTCACTATAGGCCAGTGACAGGGGGGTGCCTTTTTTCTGAACTATTGAACTGTTGAAGGCAGAACGTGTCATTTACCTCTTTAAGGCCGATAGCATAAGTCTGGGGTTCACAGTTCTCACGCAGGTTGAACTGCTTGTAAAGCTGCTTTGCCAAGTGGCCGTGGCAGCCCTCTCCGAACAACGTGACCTTAGCATGGAGCTCCATTCCCCTCTCGAAAACATCCTGTCCGCCGACAAAAAATAGAAAACAACAACTACTATCAGAAAATATTTTGTTAGCGAAAAGTAAACACAGGAAAAAATGAGGTAGTTAGGCTGTTGTGGCAAAAAAACAGAAAAACAATGAAATAGTAATTCCTGTTTTTTTTTTTCAGTTTTGCTGTACACTACCTTAGGGGAGCCGTCCTTGGCGATGCCGACGTCATTTGTAGCAATACCTTTCACACTTCCATCTTCATGAAATAAAACCTGGTAGTAATGAAATAGGTTTATCAACACCTGAAGTTGAGGGGGCCGCAAACATTTTCACTGAGAATCAGTGAGTGACGATAAAACTGAAACAAAAGTGGAGGCCATGTAAACTATAATTTTCATTTGTTTTATAGAGATTTGAAAACCTGCCAAAGAGAAATAAATAGAGGCTATAGAGTGAATAAATAGTGTGAAAGCATACAAAATCTCTTTGGCTGCTCTCAGAGGAGGCTTTGGGTCACTGTCCATCTGAGCAGCAAAGCGAGTCTTTTCAGCTTTGCTGCTTTTCACTCACTTTGACAGTATATCCTTTCAGGATTCATCTTGCTGTTTCTGTCTTCTGTCACATTGTCAGTTTACTCTAGTGATGTTGTCCGCTTCGGGTCACGAGTCATTTCAAATGTTCTCTAATCTTTTCTCTTCCTGTCAATCTTTCTCAGATTAATCTGTCCAACAAATGCAGTTTCAGAAGTGATGTGGCTTTCTGTGATGTTTTAGAAAAAAATCCAGTTCAGGCCCGCTCGGTCTTAGCTCTAAAACGGTTTGCCTCGTCTCTCTCTGAAAAAAGCTGAGAGTAAGTATTAAAAACCTATATTACTAAGCAACTGGATTTATTTTGGTAAATGGCTCAAATGACAAAAATATTTGCCAAATTTGTAGCCAGTTTGTACAAGACAATATTACCAAGTTAAAGTAACTGTGTTGGTGTGCAAAGCAATACGGGATTAATGTAAGATATAATTTAATTGTGGCAGCTTTATCCATTCGAGTGAACAGAGACACTATAATTAAATACTTATAAAGGGTGAATTACCATGACATACAAAAAGAGAGAAAAAGCTTTTGACACCTATGTGCTGCATTCACTGATTGATGTAGATTGTTAATTTATTGTTAAAAGAACTCGCCTCGGCAGCAGCATAACCAGGGTAGAGCTCCACCCCCAGCTCCTCCGCCTGCTCCCCCAGCCAGCGCACCAGGTTCCCCAGCCTCACGAGGTAGTTCCCGTGGTTCTGCATGGGCAGGCCTGCAGACAGGAGCAAAAAAATCAGCTCAGTAGACGTCCACTTCAGTATTTCCTCAACAAATCTGCCAACTCATCAGACATTCACAGTGTATCCTTTCTAACCTCTCGATATTTACACTGCACCACAGCAAATGTTTAATCTTTGCTACACAATTTCAGAAACCCGATATCAAAGTGGCTAAAAGGTCACTGAAAACAGTTTCTTTTTCTCCCTGTTCTGACTCAAGGTTAAGGGGGGAGGGGTGGGGGGGGTGTAATGCCCTCACAGACTGCCAGTCCACCACAGGTCATTATAACATGCCTGCTAATTTTACAGCTAAGAGGGAGTCCCTACGGAGATGTGAGGACACCAACGGGTCGCCAGCCAATTACGGCTAGGCCAATGTAACCTTAGACCCAAAAAAATAGAGGAGTGGAAAAAATCTATCTGACATCCTGTTTTACCCTGGCCTCTTTTCCACAGTTTTGTTTAAACAATGTGCTGGGAGTTAAGGGATGAAGGCAGCAGAATTTATTTGGAATTCTTCAGATTCGGATCATTCTTACACTAAGGCGTGACAAGGGTGCAGATAGGAAACTAAATTTCAACCTCATGTGTTCTCATCATCAGTCTCCTCATGTCGTCATATTCTCTTATAAGAATCAATGCTTCTATGACCAGATGAAAATAATCAGACGTTGCTTTAAATACAGGAATGGTGGACCAGAGCTGACTTACTCCCTTTCATACACGATGGTCCAGAGAAGTACTAAAAGAGGTTCTAAAGCCTCTTTGTTCTGCTTTAAAGATAATCCAACCAGCTCCAACAATGTGTGCTGCTCAAGTATTTTTGGATCATTTAACTCAGGTCTTAACCCTTTTGAAGAAAGAAAGATTATCTGATACAACCCCAAACCTTACTTTCATAAGAAGCCATCCTACAAAAAAATAGAACCATCCAAAAACTCCACCGCTTCAACAAACCTCAGTTACCTTTTGGTGTAAGACAGCAACAGGTTTCTGTATCTGTTTAATTTCCAAAGAACAGAAATAAATCTTATGTGAAAGCAAGAAGGAGATGCAGGCATATTGCCTTTAATGAGCAGGTAAATAAATAAACCTCTCTATTTTTCCCTGAATATGCACAGCTGTTTTTTCTACTCATCTTGGAGTTCAACCTGCTTCTTTTTCTACATATATAGCCCACACCACTATCCATTTCTGACAACATAATGCAATGTGTCTGTGGTAATTTGTCCAGGCAATAGCACTGTTTATTTGGGGTTTTTCAAAAAACACTTGAATTTCCTTTCCTAGTGGGTGGAATCCAGGCTAGTTCCCCTCCGTGGCAAACAAAACACATTTAGAATTGTGACAAGAAGTCATTATAATAATGATCACAATACAAGCATCCCCTAAATTTGGTGACTGCTAATTTAATGGAGTAGATGAGGCGGCTGACTACTTGAATGCAGTCAGCTCATCAGTCACAAAATTAACATGGAGCAGCACGGAAACTGAAAAGGACCGAAATGTGAGTGAGGAAAATTAACCAACTGTCATAACTACGAACAGATGTGACATAACACGAAATAGATGTGTATAACAGCCTCCAAACACATCTATACCACCCAAAGTGTAAGCTGACTGAGGAAAACGCTGTGTCCAGTTTGGTTTAAGTACTTTGAGCCTCACATCTATATTGGTCTCAGACTGAACTGCATATAGAAATGCATGATGGCCCCCCATCAGACCATTTCTGTGGTAGACAAAGAAAGACCAATCCCATCCTTAAAACACAAAGATTAAAAGATGCTTTTACCTGGTAATATGGGGATAGGGATTCTGTGTTTTTCTGTAAAAATGCTGAAAATATCCTCCGTCACTGGAGTGTGCAGAGGAGCCTGAGGAAAAACAAAGTTAATATAACACCTGCTGCACATGAGTAGCACTTATTAAACATTATAGATATTTAATAATGACACATTTAACACATTTTTAATTGCAGTACAAATACAGTCAGGGATATTCATGAGATTTACATTTCAATTCGAGGAGATTAGCAAACCAACCAGGATATGTAAAAATAGCATGACAACATCTAAAACACCGTACCAGGAAAAACAGCAGGAATAATATGGAGTAGCCATTAAAAGACAACAGGCATTATTATTGATATTAATTGTAAATCAAAGCCAAACCAAACTGTTGAGTGACACACATACCCCTCGTTCCTTCCAGTCCGGAAAGAGCTCGAAGAGGGCACTGGGCTCTAAACAGGCTCCAGACAGAGTGTGCGCTCCAATCTGAGGGGCCTTCTCCACAACACAGACTCTCAGCTCCTTCTCATGTTCATTGGCTAGCTGCTTGAGACGAATGGCTGCTGACAAACCGGCCGGGCCTCCGCCAACTATCACAACATCTGCTTCATCTCCAAACCTCTCCATTTCCACACCTATTAATCAAGAAAGCAAAAGAAGTGTTACTCAGTAATAACTAAATGTATGTAAGACAAAGTTATCCCCCTCTGACTGGAGCAGCAAATCCACAGAATTATATTCCTTTCAATGTATATTATCCTTAATACTGCGGGCAAACACAAATGTCACAGACACTTGTCCCTACACAACTATTTTTAGTATTTTCAAGGACATTTTTTACACCACATTAACCCAAAGTGTGTAATTTATCTAACTATGTGTAAAACCATAAACACACCTATAAGGAAACAAGCATAAAGCCGTTTATAAAGGAGTTTAAAGTCCAGTTTGAATAAATGCGACAGCCAGAAAATTATTACACAAAGAAGAAAAAGTGGATAAATGCAGTATTTAAAGTGATTACCGATTCCGCAGTCTGTTCTGTGGCTTTGGGACTTTGACCATGAATACTATAACATTTCGCTTTCAGCTACGCCTCAGGAGCAGATAAAATACTTCTGCCCCAGGACCTGCGGTTCTGTGATGTAGAAATCCGGTATATGGCTTGAAATTCAACAGTAAAACCTAAATCCCACAAGAGATGAATAAAATATATGCTTTTCTATTCTAAAAGTCTATATAGAGTTGGTTCAAGGCTTCTGTAAAAGAAACCATGTGGTCACTTATCTCCTGGAAGTAGAGCAGAGGATGCATTAATGTGCCAAATCCCAATTAAGCTACACCTAACAATGGCTTCACACTGGGAATGTGGTTTGTGCAGAGCTATCATGATCTTGGTGACAATTTGTGATAGTGTGCTGTATTTTTACCATCAATTTATATTCACGGTAACTGAAGGATGAATTAAATAAAGGTGTGTGTGTGTGTGTGCTCTTTTTATGCGGTTGCCAACACAAGGACATATCATATCCCAATAGAGGATGAGAGTAACATAAGTCCTGCATTGAAAGTTGTTAAAATCCACCTTTTTTTTTCTAACAACCTTGACACAAAGGTGTGGCAACTGCAAAGAATAAGGGTATACCTTGGTGGGAAGACTCCTCTGTCTGAATAACTGTCACAGACGAGTACAGTTCACCTTAATTATGCATACAATGTCTTCTTTTCAATGTGACAGCAATACTGATGAATATCCTTGAATAATCTTACAATTTAAAGAAATGGCTTGTTCAGGAGTTAAGACAAAAACACAAATGTGCTCAAAAATTTTGTGCTGGCAAATCAGACTTAGTAAAACTACTGTAGTTTCTTACCTTCCCATCTTGAATCTTTCTCTCGAGGATGGATGGTGTAGTGTGTTGTGATGCGGGATGCTGACGAGCACGTCCTCCTTTGTATAGATGTGTACAGCTGGGGCGCAGCATGTTCGGTCGGTACTGTTGTTAATGCTCTAATACATCTGTGGGCTGCAAGAAAGGAAACAGCTTCCAGTAAAAACCAGTTCAGTCAGGTGGAAGGGTGATCGCCTCCAGCTGGTTTAACCCCGTTTACTTTGGTTTCTGTGTCCAGTCTCCAGTTTTAAACTGAATGAAATATTCAAAAACGTGTGATCCTTACAAAACTAAGGTCACTTTAAGTGCCAAACACACTTATGACAGCGTAACTCCTCCTGGACACACACAGCTGGCTAACAGCTGTCAAACTGTTGCTGACAAGCTCCAAAGTTTTTCTCAACCAATGAGTCCATTGGTGGGAATTCTTAAATCCCCTACACCCTTGCTATACATAACAAAAGTAAAAGAACCAAAGAACATAAGAATATTATACTTTATTAAAGCAATAACTCGGATATTAATCCATACCAAGGGCACATTTCAAGTGACCTATATTGATTCAACTTTCACCTACATATTAGCTTGAAGCTAAAGCTAGGGCTGTGATACCACTGGTAAGGTTCAGAATATGTAGAAAAATGCATACAAAAGAATGAAAACGTTTACCAATCAAACATTTTACAATGTTAAAAAGGAAACTGGCCTCTTGAGGTTGTAGTTATGTCAATGTCCAGCACTACAAAAGTAGCAGGGTGTTAGCTAACCGGCTACTAGCTGACTTACCTTTACACGAGAATCTGCTAGCTGGGAGCATTCTGTGTCTGCTACTGTAAACTCGCTAGAAGACGACAGCTTCTCTTCTAAAGCCAGTCGAAGTGAAGCTGTTTTGTCTGCACTTCTTTGCCGGTGCGAGGCTTATGTAACCCACCCGCTCTGTAAACAGGGGTGCGCGTTTATACCTTACAAAATACGTCTCATAACACAGACATTCGAGCGCGTCAAAAGCTGCGCTGGCTGCGCAGAACATTACTTAACTTCACTGTAACTGCGCAAGTGCAGCTCTGTAGACACCAGTGCTGTTAGGGCCAAGCTCAAAATAAAGATCCAGGAAATGTAGGAGTCAGGCAGACTTCAGAGGCATGTCCTTAAACTCCATTATGTACTGCTTTTAAAGGACACAAACATAATGGACTTCATTTTCCTTCTTGAATACCATTTAACATTTCCTTGACCATTTATGTTACAAAACTGGATAACATTTTTGAAAAAAAAATTCCCTCAGTGCAACCAGTCTTTCTAATCTGTTGAAGAGTTTTTGAACAATACTTCTTCCTTTAAGATCTTTCAAGGCTTTTTATGATATCTTTATTTTTACATTTTTTTATACTAGTTCTGATTACTCTGACTTAGGGGTCATTCATATATAAAAATGGGTCATTACACTAAATATGAGCCACTGCTGTATCCACGCATGAAGGAATGTTATGAATGTAACCTTTTGATTTGGTATTATTAGTCTAATATACGCAGACCTAATTCATTCCTATTTTAACATTAGCAACGTTGCTTGTGGTAAAAGAAGGAGTTGTGGTGGGAGGAGCAGGGTGGGATGACTGATACACCATGGGTCTTAGACACAACCTGTCACCTATTTACAAAGCACTTTTAGGAACAATACCCAGAAGATTCACCTCTCACCTGCCTTGACCTGAATCATATAATCAGAATCAGAATCAGAATCAGAATAAGGTTTATTGCCAAAGGTTTTTAGACTCACAAAGAATTTGCCTTGGTGTGTGGTGCACAACATAACACTTCTATGATGCACAACATAACACTCATACAAGAGGCATGTGACCGAAACCACTCTGACGAGGGAGTTAACGACCCATCAGAACCACCTAACGGCCATTAATACTCCCCCAGTAGACCTCTATGGCCCATCCAGTAGGAAGGATCAGACACACCTTCTCTTTTTCCCTAATTCTTTCGTTACACCTACAGTATATTAATCTAAGTGCTCCCCACCATCAGTTATAGCTGATGAAGCCTCTTGGATGACAGGCGAAACGTCTTTTAGAGAACTTCCAGTTGCCTAATAGAAATGTCCAAGCTCGACCCTGAACTGGATGACTGAGGATCTTCACAGATACACCAGTGATTATTGCCGAGCCTCCTGGAGGCGTCGTGGGGCCAACTAGTCAAAACACTGATGAAAGAGGCTCCTACCTGATGACCCCATGGACATGCTGTTCATCACTGGTCTCTTCAGGGAACATAGGGATCAGGGTATTTTAATTAGGGACTTAGGTAGTAGAATTACTGTGTTTAATGGTTGAATTTAGGGAAGTATTCACAGTGTCTGGGCACGTGTTTCTTGTGTTTACTTAGAATAAATTTATCTTTTTAGCACGTTGTTCACAACAGCTTGCTACACAGACTCAATTCATTCCCATTTCTTTTCAGAGGCGTGCAAAGTTTGCCAGAAATAAAACAGAGTAATAGAGTCTGCAGTGTGTCATTCAGAGAAAATGGAATCAGTGGAATACTATGTCAAGGATAGAAACTACCCGAACATCTGAATTAATGTCTTTTAGAAAAACCAAAAAAAGCCGTAGTAATCACCTGACATAGGATCTCAGTGAGGCATCCGGTTCTTAATAGATTGATTGCCTCCAGTACCAAAAACAGTTCCTGCATAGGCAGCTCTAACTCAGGTAGTATGACAGATAGCCTGTGGATCAATACTCATCATCTGATTCATTCTCTTTCCAAATATTTTTGTCCATGTGAAAATGGGCAAATATGAATTTTGTTGCCATCAATCAAAAAAGGCAATTAAATGAAAAAAATGACAACTCACTGAGAATATCTTTTTAAAAAAAAAACTCCTGGTGTGAAATGAGTGCAGGAAAATAAATCCTACTGAAGTTTATGAGCAGAGGTGGGGGTCGGCAACCAGCAAGATAAAAACTGATGATAAAAGTCAACCATCCTGGCATTGTCACTGGGAAATATGTCTTTCCCATCTTTGCACAAAAAAAATCTATTCATGGACAAGTGTAATCATTCAGTCTATTCAGGTTATCTGTGGACCTCATTTTTCCGCAGATTAAATTGCCGAACCTCCACCTGACCCCAGTGTATTCGCTATGATTACTTTTCCAAATTTGAAAGGCTGTGTATGTTTCTGAGACTTCCTGTTCAGGCAGTACCTGTTTAGAAATTAAAGTCTGTTTGTGTGTTCAATCTGTTTGGGAGTTTGAGTTTGGATTTGTGCCCTCACAACAACACACAACCCAAATGACAACCAGATTTGGTACAAATGCCTTGACCTGAAAAAATAAATCGGATGATTTTGGAGCGATAAAACTCTTGTTACATCAAAATAAACAGATAACCCAGGAATTATAGCTTTATTTGAACCGTTTCCCCCTTTGATATCAGTCCTCAACCAACCAGACTTGAGTTTATGTACAGAGGTGTTTTTTTTTTTCTTCTAAATTTGTGAATCTATAATTACAAAGTATATGTGATTAATATCATTTTAAACATTCAATCTTTTTTATGTTGATTTTCAATCACTTTACTTTACTACTAGTGTCAAATTTACTATGCAACTAAGGTATAAAACTGAAAAATCTACCAGTGAACTGGACACTGCGGTAGGGGCATCTTGTACCAGTAAAAGGGGTTATGACACTCCACTGTGTCCAGGCTGCCCGGAGCTGACAGACTTGGAAGAAGTTGACAGTGGGAGACAAACAAACTGTCAGCCAACACAAAGACCAGCAAAAGGGAGAGAACAGTAATTACAGCAACAGCTGAAGCTCTTGGCAAGTGAACATTACTTCTGCCACCATCGCCTCCCTCGGCGAAATAACTTTCAGCAGCAATGGTAGTAAATAATTAAGAAAGCAAGAGGAGATGTTTGTGTTGCTTTGCTTTACTGTAGACGGCTTCTCCACACTTAAGAACTTCAATTTGGAGAAAGATATTTCCCATTCTGCCAAACTGGTAGATAAAATCTTGTGTCATCATTGTTATACTGTTTCTGTACATCTTTTTAGTCTGTAATGTTTGCTTGTTGAATTAATTACAGCATCTGTTTGTCAGGAATCCAACTAAGGAACTGTAGAAGATTTTTTTTTAAAACAGAAATATTAAATGGTAATTTCTACAATTTGGGTTTTGTTGGCTAGATTGTGCCTTTATACTGATTAGCTCATCAGTACTAATCAACAGGTAACAGAGATAAAAGGGAACACCCCACACCGAATCACACAAAGGTTCGTAATCATGCCAAATTTAAATTAAACCCTTGGAGGAAATAGTTGACTTTTTGAATCCCATTTTGTGCAGCAAAGATGTGATTCAAATGAAAGTCAGGCAAAAACAAAAAAAAAAGAAAACTGGCATGAAACTTAAATTTTGTGTTGATTGGAACTCAGTGACTAATGTTTAACTACAATTAATTACTTGCTTTAATTAATCCTGCACAGTGCTTTCCAATTTCAAATGAATAGTGATTACATAAACGTAGATACTGCCAATTAAATTTTCCTAATACATTATTAAACAGTTTCCATGGAAAAAAATCTAAATTTTTATGCATTTCAAACAGAATGCAAGAAAAATTTATGGCAGTGGCACACATCGTCAGTGTGATGCTCAAAAATATAAAATCAGCGATTCATCAGGGATTTTATTTTTAGACACAGTCAATACACTGAATTCAACAAAGCCATGTTTGAAAAAAAATCCAAACGGCGGTACGCCTGCAGTTATGATTAAATCACCAGGAAGTAGCTTGCCTTCCTTTGTGACTTTCAGTAGTATGGGAATGTAAAGATTACACACAAAAGTTGTTCACAAATCATTGTTAAGATTGTTTTTTTGTGTTGTGTTTATAATACATTCACACACTTATAATGTAAAAAAAAAATCACAAGTATCTATACTTCACTGAATAAAGTATGCACAGCAGGTTTGTACAAATAATCGTACAATAATGAATACTTTACAAATGTTGTAACTGTAGATCACAGTGTAAAAATGTGTCATGATGTGAGGGTTTGCGACATGAGGCTTAGTTTAAATTGAAAACCACAGACCAGCTGGGCATTTTCGATATACGGTTCAAGAAAAAACAAAAACAAACAAAAACGTTGCTGCCCTCATCATCATACCTGTTAAAATTAGTCAACATACTGGGTGATGTCATGTTCCATGTATTACATTCAACACAGTGCTAATTCATTTATTCATCATGGCGCTTTTTGGTTACATAGACAGCTGCTGTGGATAGACGAAAGACAAAAAATGAGGATATAATATCACTTTTAACAAACTGGAACAATCCAATGTATTCCAGTGTATTCCAATGAGCATTTTCTTTCTTTAAAAAGGCTTAAAATGAATTGGTTAAAGGTTGATCCAACTTCTCCAGTCGTATGATCACTGCTGACTGCACAAAATCACATCTTAAATGTCATTTTTGAATATTTTTTCTTTTTTAAATGTATTTCAGATTTTTTAAAAATTGGACAAATGCCAATTCTATTGCTTATCTCATCATAAAAATGTCCTTTTATCACTTCTCAGAATCACATACATCTATGATGAAGCTGCACATACGATGACCAGGTGAACTGAACTAATTACAATTTGTACGCAGTACAAAATGGATCAAATTAAAAGCCGATATCATGCAAGAATGATATCACAACATCTGTAATACAGTCAACAGCCACAAGAGAATAGTCAATCAAAATGGTTCGACTTCAAAAAAGTCCTCACGGTAAACATGTTACAATTACAACAGAAACACGGACGAGGATTACTTTTTCTTTTTGGCACACACCAATTGCAACTAAAACACAGCGACCAGTTTTAAAGAACATCAGCAGCTCAGCTGCTGCCCGCCCCAGGTGTGAATGTCAATGTCAGGAAAGCAGATGAGGACATACTTGCGTTGCTCCCAAGAGGCAAAGAAAATAACAGTGTCTGTATTTTCAACATTTGGACCTCCAGCAGGTAAGCAATATTGCTAAAGCCCCTGTAGAGTTGTTATGAGAGATGAATGACAAGCATTGCCGACACGCACATTTCAAAATGTCTCTGGATTTATGGATGTTCGACCAATGGGAGTAACTCAGCTGAAGAACATGCTACCGTGACTGGTCAACCTGGGTATGCCTGACACTCGAAATGCATTCAAGCAGAAGCATTTTACGCATTTTAAGTTTGGAAGAGATCATAAAGAACATCAAGCTGAATTCACGATGAGGAGTTGAAGTTATTTAACATTTAGTTTGGATGCAGTTTGGACAGAAATGAACGTAATGAACGCACAATCTTTCAGACTTACATAATATGGACAAACTAAGTTTGGTGTGGACTACCTTACTGAGTAATCATCACAGAACTGATTATAAAAAGGACCACTCAGAAACCACGTTCTATTTATTTTTCATGTTTTTAATTTTAGTTGTCCACTCAATCACACACAGACACACACACAGACACACACACACACACACACACACTAATGAACCTGCAGCAAGGCTGGTGGCTCTGCGTGGCTTAATTTGGGCACAGCGGTGCTTCATATCAAACACTACCATCAGCATGCAGCTCAGATCACATGGAAATCCATGCTATATCTGCCAAGATATGAAACTAAGAGGGAAAATGTCAACATGGTAATGGTACTGCACTCAGTGTCAGGAAGGATCACGAACTCCAGCCTTCATGTTTGAATAAATTGGTGTTCCCAATGAAAAATGTTAATATTATATGAGTCAAGCCCCAGTTTCAAACAAAAAAGAGAACTTACTGTACTGTGCATACTAAAATCCTGCATCAATCATGATTCGGTTAGTATTAAGCAGTCAAAGCTCCATATTTTCTTTGCACGTTTCCTTAAGCGTCTCAGAATCGTGTGGCTGCCAAAATCTGCTGCTGGAATTGGGAAACCCCTCTTCAAAAAAGGAATCTTTATATAAATAAAGCCTCTGAGATGGATTCTAACGCCACAAAAGGAAAGTATATAAAAATGTATGTATTATCGTCTCAAATTCGGAGTGTATCAAACTTACCGTTGGACCAGCATCAACTCCATTAGGAATGAATGAACATCATGCGTGTAAAGCTTTGGCACATGGTTGGAATAATTGGATCTGAAGCCTCAAAACAAAGATGTCTTCATGCATCTCACATAATCTGTGACAAATCCTGCTTACTGCCTCAAGGAAAAACTTCCTTCATTAAACAATTGGCAGTAAATATTCCTTTTAGTCTATTTGAATACCCACTCGATCCACACACTGAGAAACCCGATATTTTATGCTTGTCCCTCGGTATAATGCTGCTTAGTTCTGTAGCTGTTCCCTGTGAGCATTCAAGTAATTGAATTAACTCTCATCGGACAGTTTAAACTTAATTAATTTCCAAGTATGGGATTCGCTGCAGTGTTTATGGAATAACATTGACAACATTTTGCAACTCAAGCAACTTTTAAAAAAAGTGTGTCATACACAAGTGGCACTTTGTGATTCAACTGCAAAATTACTGCTGAAGTCCATGGATTCAGTGAGTAAATAGAACAAACTGAAGAGAATTTCCAATTAAATTTCACAAATCATATGGTGGAAAAAATACATTAGCATACTTTACTCGCAAATTGAACTTATTAGGTAAATAAACTGCTGCTGGTAGGGGTCACTGTTCAATACCCCTCATGCGTTTTCTGAGATTAATAAAAAAAATCCTTGGCTTGACAAGACAAAAAAAAGCCATTTCGAATGACAGTTTCAAGGACATTCTTTTGACTGACTAAAAGTAAAAAAGCTATGTCAACACAAAAGAAATTCTTTGGGAAAATGATGAAATTTCAGACACATTATAATTACTATGCCTTCCTTGATATTTCTCTTTGTCTGCACAAATTGTTCCCATCCTAAAATCAAATACTAAATTGCAGCAGAAGAAAACATCCGAGGAGGGTAATAATTGTGCGGCGCATTACACGCCAACGCAGTCCTCTCGCTCCTGAGTGCTGCTGCTACGTTTCAAACGCTGAACCACGAGGCCCAGGGGCTGCAACCGGGACTGGATTGTACAGCTCCACATCAAAACAAAAAACAGTTTACGGAAATGCCTGTGTGAGGCTTTTAAGCCATTAAACACGCACTTAGGCATCACGGGCGTCAAAACCTCCACCTTAAGTCACTCTAAGTTGTGTTGCTGTGCATTAGGGGTTCCCATCTGGCTACCCCAAGTTAACGCAATGGATTTAAAAAAAACTTTCTATAAAAAGTCGATGATCTCCTCGCTTTGCCTTCTCAAATGAGTTTTTGTGTATTAAACTGTGTCCTAATTTGATGTAAACAAATTAAATAGTTTTTTTTCTTAGTGCCACTGGTGTTATACTGTGTCTGCTAAGGTCTAGATGGATATTTGGAGATTAATGTGGTCCACTTAGAGTTGATGGCACATTTATGTTACATAGCTCAGGACATTAAGACTAAATGTGTTGTGAATGAAAAAAAAGCAGATTTAGAAGGAAAAAAGACTAATGAAATGCACATATATTGATGTCTCACTGCGTAGATCCACCACTGGAATGAATCTTAAGTGTGGGAGATAAGGCAGACAGAGACAAAAAAAGATTAACTGAAATATCCAGTGGAGTGGCCACAAAGAGTTGAGACAACTGAGAACATGATCTCACAGAGAGCAGAGGACTCTGTCTCATCTTAACCACGGCAGATCTAATTTGGTTTAGGTGAAGTCTGGGTCGTATTCAAAGATAGAACTATACTACTTCATTTATTTAATAATTCCAAGTGAAGACAAAAATTAAATGAGTTAGCAAAGCATTCCGTTTGTTGTAACCTTTTCCAATCCGATATTTGGAATACTTATGCACAAAAAAAATCACAAAATCTAATTTGATTTTCATTTCCTTTTTAAATGCCTGTTAATATTTCAGCAACACATGGCATTGGCTTGGCTTTCTGTTGCATTTGCTGTTTGGGTGGGGAATGGAGCTAACGTTGTGAAGATAAAGAAACGATTGCCATCAGAAATTTTTTACAGAGGTCCTGAGAAAAAGTCGATTTTGTTTTTGAAGGATGGAATTGCTGCAAATAAGACTAATACCAAACCATAGGGAGGAAAAGGCAATGCGGACTGAAAAATTGATCAACTGGAGAGTGAATAATGCAACAGAGGACAAAAAATAAACACATGTAAGCATCTGTAATATTCAAAAGCTTTTTTATAATTAAAATAAATATTTTAAAAAAACTCTGCCAGTAAATGTTACCATTACGGATAAAGTTAATCTATATAAAAATCTAGATGTAGTAATGTCTTCTTTCATAAATCTGAACTGTTTTAAACACAGGGAATGACTGCAGGCTGAAGCTTCAATTGATGATGTTTCTTGCTAAGTGCTGCATAAATGTGTGATTATTATCTTAACTCTGACCTTGTCGGGTCTTTCCAAAACAACAAATTACCATGTTCATACTTTACCAAATTAGCGGCTAAAATAAATAGAGGCGAAAAAGGCGTTTCAAGCTCAGTTAAGAAAGATAGACCCAAACGTTGCACATTAGCAATCTCCTCTTGTTTACCATCAACTCATCATTTATGGTCAAACTAATCTAAAAATGCTTCTCATCTCTTCTGCCAGTAATCCTCCACAGAAATCCCCCCCCTCCAGAATATATACACGCACAGACTTAAATTTAAACTAAACCCTCTTAATTTTTGTTGTCACTTTTGTAAATCTTTGTCTTTTTAGCCACATATAGACATCATTGTTTTCTGTATCACACATTCACAGACAACATGTGCATTGAGTCCCTAGGCTTTATACTTCATAGAGCTGTGGTTGCTTAAATGAAGAGAAATGTTCAGTTCTCATCGTCTGAAGATCTATGTGCCTTATACCTTCACTGTTTTGTTGCAGCATGGGTAACACATACAGCTCACTTCATTTAGAAAAGATGAAATAAATACTACTTTTTCACTATAAAGAAGAAATCCAGACCCATTAAAGGACTACAGTGAATGTTTATGATATGAGTTTCTGACACGAATGGGCATTAACCATTTTAACTGGCCTCGAATCACTCGCGGACATTTTAGGTGGGTGGTTAGAGGAGTTCATTTGTCGGCGTGAACGTGTGGATGTGCGTGAGAGTGTGCGGCACCGTTTGTTTCTGCGAGCACACGGACAGCACCGCGTGCTGCTTCGGCTGTTTTCTGCACGTGGCAGTGTCACTATATCCATCGTTGGCATTCTCCACGGGGGTGAGCTTGGCCGAGGCGTCCGTGGTTTCCAGCGGGTTTCCCGGGCCGACCACTTGGCTGTTTTCCTGCAGGGGCCACATTTCCTGCCAAGTGAGCGACTGTTGGTGAGGGGGATGGCCGCTGAGCAGGGGTCTTTTCTGCCGGTAGTTAGCCCACACCTGCAGAATGGTCTCTTTGAAAGGCCGCGTGGTAAGTGTGTAAAGGATGGGGTTCAGGGCGCTGTTGATGGGCAGAATAAAGATCACAACCCACGAGCTGATAGTGCCTGCCAGTAGAGACAAAGATAAAAAGACCAAAAAAAAAGACAAATGTATTAAACATGACAGTACACTATTATAGACTGTTAGAACTTGGAAAATTATTCTGACACCAAAATCTTTTATCAAGGCACTTTTAGTAACATATTGGTGACAGCTAATATGGGCAATAATAAATAATGTGAAATAAAGTATTACTCCAGGATGGCTACAGTTAAGTCCTGAAAAAAAGAAGAAGATTGGATTCACATTAATCAGATTAGTGACAAACTGTCCTTTCTTCATCATATAGCATCAAATCTCTCAGAATGAGACACTGTCTTTTTTTGGTTTTTTAATACCCACTCCGAAAAGAAAATGTGCATATCATGTGTTGCCTTGTTTTTTTTTCATTTTATGTTCAGGCGGCAAAATTACACTTAGTTCAACACATGACGACACCATGTAAGCAAATAAGAAAACATTTCACTTCTTTTACCCGGCATGGGGAGAACTGAAACTAAAGGCCTCCCTTCGTGGTGATTTGTGACTTGCTGGTTTCAGAGTAATTGAAATCCACCTTTGTGCCAGCGATTCAGATGTTTCTCAAGAAAAATGTATTTCACAGTTATTTTACAAATTTTCTTTCTGTCATGCTGTCACATCCTCTCAGCTCCGAAAGTGCTACCCAAATAGCAAATCTAACCACCAGGGATGGATAATCTAACCTTTTGGAGTGACTTTGATAAGGCAGTCAAAGGGAAAAAAGAGTGGAACTAAAGTCACAGTCTGAAGTAAAATATAATAAAATGAATCATAAAAGACACAACGCGTGTTGATCACTTCGTGACGTATTACTCATGATAAAGATCTCCTTTCATCTTCAAATAAAATGAGCTAAACTCAAGAGTGGCATGGGGAGGTCTGCCACTAATGGATTTTTCAGATAAGAAAATATGTAATAAATGCAATAAGACAAATAAATTGTATACTGTATAACTTAAAATGGAGTCTCAGCTTTGTGATGTGCTTTTTTCTAAAGCAACTGTCTGTTTTGTAATATGACAATGATCTAAACAACCTGAAATGCATTCTGCAAATGTTTGCTTTACAGACCTTTTTGTTCTACCATTTGTATAACTTTTAATAAGGTTTTCTTCATAACAAATTTCCCTCAAGATTTATAGTAACCCTGACCAGTTTTACTATACCTGGAATCTCCACTTGCATTAATGACAAGATCTTGAGGATGAAGATGGGGATCCAGCAGAGGGAGTCGGTTATGACGATAGAGAAGAACCGTTTGGCAATGGTGACCTCCTTTTTAATGTGGTTGCTGTACTTAGTGGTCTGAGTGCCCGTCCTCTGGATGTTATAAAACATGCTTGCATAGGAAAACACAATAATGAGGAACGCCACCAGATTGAGACCTATGGAAAGACATTCAATTAGTTGATAATCTTCAATAACTCATGATTGCAATGAAAATTAAAAGTTTTGACAAAGCTCAGGGTCTGCTTCTATTGAAATAAGATACAATTATTATATAGTGAGACTACTGTTTTACAGTAAGCTTTGGAGGACATAGACAAGTAAAACAAAAACACATAAGAACCCAGCTGGAGAACAAATACCTACCCAGGAAAATGACGATGGAGTAAACGTGAGCCCAAGCTGTCTCCGGCTGCTCAGAATGCAAAGGAAAACAGACTCCATTTGTGCCATAAAAGTTGCGGAACAAGCCCTTGCACACGAGAGGCAGAAAGGCCACGATAAAGCCGAACACCCAGATCCCGAGGAGGATGGTAACAGTTCGTCGCCAGCCCGGAGTCAAGTACTGGAAAGGGTAAACGATGCAGATGTACTTCTCCAGAGTGAGATAGGTGAGGAGCAGCACAGATACTTCGGTGGACAGCATGGCCAAAGAGCCGATGACCTGACACTGACTGCTGTCCATCCAGGCCTGAGCGTGCCGATTGTACTCCCCTCGAAACTTCAAGTCGTACGCGCCAATCATGAAGAGGTAAATCCCCATAAGCCCGTCTGCACCTGCGAGGGACAGACAGCTGCATTAAAACATCCATTCGTCCCCGACTATTCCATGAAGTTCTTCTTTCTAAGGCAGTTTTTAATCGGTGTGAAAAATATAATCACATCGCTCCCATATCTGGGCCAGACTCCGACTTTCCATCTTTAAAATGGAGATGTCAGGGAGGGTATGGGTCGATAACGCCAACAATCAGTCAACTGATTACATATTTAGATGTTTGCTCATGCTTTGAATGCTACCGTGTGTGCCACATGATATGGATGGTTGTGTGCCAGGGAGATTTATGGCATAGCAGTTGTGGAATATATATGATGCGTTCGGGGATTTTTAACTGTTTCCAGGCATGCAGTGAAACTTAAGCGAAAATGTGACAGGAATTACTGATTTTTTCAGATAGTATTGTCCTGCTAATAATGCAGAATTTGGGCTAAATTGTCTATTTGGTTAAGTCAGGACCCTGTGCTGGTAAATTAACGATTCGAAAAAAGAGGACCCCATGACAAATTAGATATAGGAAGATTTAAAAGAAAGAAATCTACTGTATTGTTTTTGTAAAGGCTGAGGGAGATTATTCTCTAAGAAAAAGACATATGAGGTAGGAAGATTCAGCGTTTGTAGCTGGGACTAAAAAAGTTGCTTTTACGGGTTAATCAATTCTTACACTGTATCAAACTTTAAATTGAAACAACGTGGTGCATATATAAAAAAGGTGAGGGGATTTCCAGGTGCCTGCACTTGATCCACTTCCCCCTGATCAAGGGGATGTGGCCCACACAGGGACTCCTCTCCAGAGCCGCCTGAACTCATTCCCGCTGATCACTTATGAGAGCTTTTGGGTGAAAAGAAAGTTTTCTTTGTCACTGAAACATTTGTGACAAAGGCAGACCACTTTACAGACAACCGTCAGTCGGCCGTCAGTCAAATCTGGACAGTCGGACTCGATCGGTGTCCTTTTCTACACAACTCAACTCGAAGAACTGGCAGCGATTTCAGAAAGAAGCCAGTCCCCATGACCCTATTTTCCTGCACCTGTTCTTCTTTTTCACTTGTTATGAAAGAGGAGAGAACAAAAGCAGCTGGAGGGGGTCATGCTGCGCCCTGCTCTGGTTTACGCACACCTCAAAAACTGACAATCTGAAATTGTGTCATAGAGGCATGCAGAATCCGTCCCTATCGTATAGGGAAATAATCTTTTCCCCGGGCCCCATGGGAAATGAAAGAACTAACCTGAGCGGAGTGACACGGAGAAGCCCATTTGTGTCAGCTAAATGTTGATGACATTAACAATGTGATGGCATCAGATGGAACCATCGCACGGCACCTTTGCACAGATGATTGTCATCCTGTAGTATATCTCTAATCTGAAACAGGGCTGGAGTCGGGCTTTTCCAAACAGTAGCGCAACAGTGAAATTCTCTGTAGCGCTGTCTGAAAACAGATTGTCACACACAGAAACTTCTGACTGCTTAACCACTGTCAGATAGTGATGTGAGAAGCTTATCTATTGACAGTATGAGGGCAAGCGTCCTGTGCTTGATGATCATGATGGGAAAACAACATTAAACAAATAATAAAAACTGACAGATAAAGCCACGCGGTAAAGCTTGGTTTCTCATAGAAAATGTGTAAACAACACAGAACCCCTTTTTTTTTTTCTGGCAGAGCGTCCATCCAAACATCCTCCCCGAGGAAAACCCTATGTGGACATAAGGCCCAATTAAGCCTGTCAAACACAATCTTTATTTTTTTTTTATATTTAGCATTGTCACAACAGCAAAGCTCTGTAGGATGACGAAATAAAGAGTATGAGATAATTATGGCTCAAGAGGCACCAACGCTGTAAAAAAACATATTACAACTCCAAAAAAAAAGAAAAAAAAGAAAAAACTTAAATCTCTGCTGTCTTATTTCTCTCGTACCATGCGTTCTGCCCTAACAAGGTTCATTTCCATGTGCTGGCAAAGCTTGCAGGTCCTGATTGGCACATGGAAATCGTCTTCATGTTCTATTCAAACAGTTCAGATGTTGAAAACAGCAGCAAGCAGGTGATCAAACAGCTCTCAGTTTTAGGAAAGCTTAACCTTAAATCGAATTCAGCCTAGAAATATTGAAATTGAATCATTTCAAGATAGAATTTACTTTTTGATTAAGAGAGGAAGGCTGATTGGCGCCACTACAAAAACAATTACGATCTTATCTGGCAGAAATTTGGAGGGATAAGAACTTGACTCGGTAAATGCAGAGAGCTGGCATTTTCTTTACAAAGATGTCTATTCTTCTGATCCAAAGTACATTTTCACACTAAATTCAAACGGTTTTCTTCTCCACCTACTTTATTTGCCCAAGGCTGACTGATTGTAGTTTTTTTCTTTCCCAACCGAAGCTGCAGTTTAATTTACAACTTCTATTTTGTTGTGATCTCTTTGCTGCATTGTCTGTGCTTGGTTAATAGTATTTTTCTAATACATTACAACCCTACTTCAAACCCCTGTTTTTATAAATTCATCTAATATAAAGAGCAAAAGAAAGCCTATGAGTTACTAAAGAAATAATTAGTGTTTTCAGGTACAATGGAAATACTGAAAGCTGACCAAACTGTTATAAACATCATTATTCACACTTTGGTCCCATTGGTACTGTTGTGGAAACCACAGAGGGGACTTGGTTGTCGGAAATAGCGGCATTTAAAAAAAGATTTTCAATCCGGTTCTAAATACAGAATTCTCTAAATGGGAAGTCTATCCTTTGTTTACAGGCTAAAATGTGCTCTGTTCCTGTAACAACAAGATTAGAGGCAACTTGCATAAATGTCTTGATGCATAAAGACATAATCCACTGATGTGAAAAAGACACACAATTTGTTTCTCTTGTCTCGGTTTTCATTCTGCTAAGCTCTTTAAGCTCTGTTTCATCTGTTCTCAAGCCCCACTGACATTTCAGGAATACTTTCGTAGATAAGTGCATTTAACAAAATCAGCCTTTCAATGACCTAAAATAAGATGGCTAATAAAATCCCGCCTCCCAACAGGATAATAGATGTGGCGGGGAGAGGACCTGACACCTGTTTTAATATAGCTTTTTGTCTTTGGATGTTCTTATCTAAGACTTCTTTTTATTTGCATTCAGTATTTCCCCCACGGTTATCATATCGCGCCTCTTTTCATTTAATTTTCTATTCTCTTCAAATACCAATCGGTAATTGACATTTCTCCTTTGCCATATCATGGAATGACCTATATGGTTTATTATTCTTAAGATATCATGGCACAGGAAATCATTTGCAGGAAAATGGCTCAAATAGTTTCGAATGAGACTTTCAGACTTTTACCGGACCAGAAACAGGGCTCCTGCTCAAATTTAACCCTATAAAGCCTGATCCAAGAATAAAACATAACAGAAAATTCCTATTTTTTTGTTTGAATTCCTTGTTTGGCCTTTTAACAAAATATGTAAAAAGAAAAAACAAAAATAATTTTTCAATATTATTAATTTATTACTATGCGATAAGTCAAGATTATTTTTTTTGTAGTTTTATCAGGTGTATCTGATTGTGTACAATAGGATTTTAAGCAAAGTTTTTACCATTAAATTATGCAAAAGGTGTCAGACGCAAAATATTTCAGAAACCGTGTGTCAAATATGATACATTTGGCATTACAGGGTTAATTTCAGGTGTTTGAGATTGCAGCATTTCGCACGTTACACCGATAAAAACTGGACTTACAGCAGAGGGAGATGATGCACATGGCGTGCAGCTTGTTCTCTGAGCGGATGTAGGAGCGCATACATATGACGAAGATGTTCCCGAAGCAGGTGGTGGCCGACACCACCCAAACAAAGACCCTCAGCACGATGTTGGCCAGCAGGTTCTCAAAAGACGAGATGCCGTCAGTGTTGGGCTTGCAGCTGCGCACGTGAGGGGCATAGCCACAGTACTGGAACTTCTTGAAATAGCTGTCAGGTTAAAAAGAGAGTAACATAGAGTATTTCTACATGCTTAAGTTTAAAAAATACAGTGAATTACTTAGTATTGAAAAAATAGCAGCCCTAAAGGTTGAAGACTAGAATTTGAATTGATGCATTTCTGGTTTTCTGTTTTCAATTCTTTGATACCCCCAACAGAGGAAATCAACAAATGTCTAAAATTACTCATTCAAGATTTCTTTCAAGCAAAGAAATCTAATGATTTGTCCTGATGGAATCCAGTCTTGCTTATTTAACATATCAATATTTATGTACCTTTATTTTCATTTTTCCCATGTTAAACCACAGTATTTTCCTTTCAACAAAGTTAACTCTGGCTTATTATACCTGCAAACTGGTTTCCTTTTGTGCACATGTAATGTGGCTGACTGGAACTAAACACAAAGGCTGATGTAAATGTATTGGCTGCACAGGTTAAGGTTTCTTAATCCAAAGAACTTTACCTTTAAAATTTAGAATAGCAAAAACTTGATTTGGACAATAATTTTATTAACAAGTTCAAGACAATTTTTCTAAAGAAGAACATCGAGTTTTGATGATATTTAACCAAATGTCTTGTTACATTTTCACAGATATACAACTGATTAATTCTGTATTAATTCTGTAATAATTCTGTAACAAACCAAAATTCAGCCAACTTTAGAGCTCAGAATCTCTCCATATATGCATAAGTTATGCAGTAGAGCTAAAATTAATCCCCATAACGTAAAACACAATCTTCCTGTAAAAAAATATGCTAAAGCAGGTCACATGCCACTTTAAACCAGAGCTCCTGAGTATAAATCCAAGGCTGGAAGAGCTGAAAAGGCACTCCTCCTTTTCTTGGTTCATCTTTTCCAGGATCTGCTCGGATCTCTGTGCTGTTTAAGCCACAGAGAGGAGGGATCACGCTAAGCCTGACTTAATCATGTCCCAGGTGGAAAAGATGGCAGAATCTCAATAAGGCTAGTTCCGGGCTCACTGAGGTGCAGTACGTGTGGGAAAATGTTGATCTCTTGAGCATGACAATGAAGTACTTACATGTGCGTTAGATATTTAAGGGGCTCAAACATCCTGCGTTGTATATTATCAATTTCTATCCCCTCTATGCTCCTGACAAAAAGAAGAAGCACTTGATTAAGTATTAGTTTTGCTACAATAAACACATAATGTTAACACACAAAAGTAGTCGTGTCAGCACAGAACATGCTGCGATGCTCAAAACTGAAACGTGGAAAAAAATGTCTAACTTCCTGTAGCATTATCACACTGTGTTTTCCTATCTGACAAAACAGGATTTTTTCCCCCCTTTGCATCCACAATCCACATTTCATATCTAGTTGTCATTGCTGTCGTCAGACATACTTACAAGGATTTTAATTTATGTAACTTGTCAAAGTGGTAAACTTGAAGTTCCATGATGGGATTGAAGGAAATATTGCTGGAAAATAAAATGAAAGAATCAATTCACGTATAAAATAAACAAGTAAAAAATATAACAACCCCGTTTAACAATGACAATACTTTACAGGACACATCACATGTATCCTGACTGTTATTTATTGTACTCTGACACATTCACAGTCCCCTCATGGTATTATAACTGCTGCATTTCTTCCAGATTCCTCTCAGTATTTGGTTGCATGTGAAATCTTGTTATACAGAACTCAAGATTTTGGTTAGCTGTATGACTATCAATGCATTTACTGGCTTCTGCTCATACATTTTGTATATGTTCATGTATTTGCAACCACAGTTGTTACTGGCAGTGGCAGAGTGTTCCAGACATAACCTGAGAAATAAATAGGGAGTTTAAAATTAACCTTCAGCATTATGGCTGATTTGTGGTTCTTTTGAGGTGGAAACAACATGTTTGCTATTTTGTTCATTTATTTCAGTTCCCTATGGACAATTTGGTAATTTTGAACCAGTTATTAGTTATGTCAAAGATTAAGATGCAGGGCTTCTATTACGACTGTTTCTACACATAAACTCATCTCTGAAAAAATACCCAGTATCTCAATAATATCTATTCTTTTCCAAAAGTCCCTAACAGCAAAAAAACATCATTCTCTGGCAGCATCAGAAGCCGTACATTATCATGGAATTTGTGTGATTTCAAAGCAAACTGTGTTTAACTCACAGTTGGAGCAAATCCTCCAGTAAGAAAAATAAATTGGGTGGTATTACCACAAGCCTGTTGTTGGATAGATCCCTGCACAGAGACAAAAAAAAAAAAAATCAAAATCAGATATAGAAACATAAAAAAAACACTTAAGCATGCTGATAGGACAGAAAGTCCTCTTAAGATCGACACACATCATTAAACGATCTACAAACCCAGGGGTGGATTACATAACAAGCTCAATGAAACAAAAAAGCAAAGAAAAGAACATCCTGCTGCCAATTCTTTTTTAATTGTAATTCTAAATTTGAAACAGCAGAATTTGTTCATATCTCTCTGATTATGTATAATCTTCTTTGCCAGATTGACTTCTATATTCAGACACAAACTGATAAACAGGAAAAGATTTACAATAAGGAATCTTTAACATCTTAGAAATAAGGAGAGCATTGCTATAAGTAGTAGTTTGCTTTTGTGTTTTTTTTCAATTCAAAATGGGATTTTACCATAAAAGAAAACTGTTACCAGGCATATCCCTCAAACATGACTAATACATTTGCAAAAAACAAGACGCAATATTATAATGTGGGTTTTACTCCTACATGGAGGAAGTTCACTTATAAATAGCACAAAGAGCAATTAAAAAATAAACATACCATTTAAAAAAAGAGAGACTAAATATTGATGACTAATGTTACAATGTCATCAAATTTGAGAATTTATCTTAAGCAAAAAAGCTATAATAATTTCTGAGTATTCTCCATTAACAGTATTTGTCATCATTACTAATTCTTACACTGCAACAAGAGACACGTTTTGTTTTAAAGAAATTCTCTTAGTACTTTCTTGAAATTCTGACTTCACAAGAATGGGACAAATACAGTGAAAACGTATTGCCTCCGGACACTGCTGCTGCTACTGGCATTGGAGTAGAAAGATTTAACAGGTCCTTGGAAGAGGAGCTGTTAGGACTCATAAGGCTTTTTATCAGCTTTGTACAGGCAACAAAAGGGCACATAAAAAGAAAACGAGAACTCTGTGAAGATCACTCTAAGAAAGACCTGGTCAAAACTCAGAAGGGAGACAACATCTACTACAGAATGTGAAGATCTGCAGACATCTATGTCAGCTTTTAACTTCTGTGGTTAAACGTCAGTCATTTAAAGAGTGCTGTCCTGTAAAGCACAACACAAAACGGCCCTGAAAAGCTAAAGTGTTATTGACTATAATTAACACTACCACTGCAAATATTGGTTAAATAAAGCTTAGATATGTCAAAATGCATATGAAGAAACTACCTGTTGTGGTATTTTTCACTTTCGTCATAGAGTCATAGTCTTATCTTATCTATCTTTGTATAACTGGACTATTGTGAAGTGAGGAATGGAAGCTGAGAAAATATGAGAATGCATAAGATTTTCTATAAGGAAAATAATTCAGCTCCTGAATTCACATGACCTCTGTCTCATTGAAATGAGACTTAGTTTTGAAGTGGAAACTACAGCAAACAAACAGACCAATTCAACTGGCAAGCCTGAGGCTTAAAATGACTACAAAAAGTTGTTGTCATTAAAAAGCCAGCTCAAGTTTGTTCAGTGAAGCCTTCCCTCCAAATGTGATATTAATAGACATTTGAAATCATGTCATTCATAGCTTTCAGCAGCACTGCTCTTGAGCATTGTACTTCCAGGAAGTCACATCCTTATTCAAACAACTCTGAATGTTGTTATGTTGCCCTTCATTTTTCTTAACTCAACGTGCATAAAAAGTCTTTAAGTGATCTTCATAGCTTCAGTTTTCTTTTAGAAAACTCTTCAAAATTGTGTTTTTTCTTCCTTGAATGAAGTTTGTCCGCCAAATATAAAATAAAAAAGTGGTAACTTACAACTCTCCAAGCTTTCGGAGGACAGAGAAAGCCTGCTCGTGTATGTAGCTTATCTTGTTTCTCTGCAAAACTCTGGAGAAAAGGCAATAAACACAAAGCAGGAATTACATTGCTCCTTTTTGACCTTTCCTAATCCCATTTAATGAACTTGCCAGCAATCGACTGCATGCACAAGCTACAGTCTGCAATCAATTTTTGTGAGACTGATTGGTGAGGTTCAGCCAATACAAAAACTCTGAAAGCAAGAACTTTGCTCCTCCGTGGATTAAATGATGTAAATTTATACTTACAGAACTGTCAACATGCTACAGGAGCGGAGGGAGACGTTTCCAATCATTTCAATGAGATTTCCCTCTAAATCCCTGCAGGAACATTATGAAACGCACACATATAGGAGGCATTGAGACACTTTTAGACACATACAGGGAGAAACAACACATCACACCACTTGTCATTGTGTAAGACAAGAGAAACTCTGTATTTTTGACATCCAACTTACAGCCAGTTCAGTTTGGGCATTTCTCGACAGATGTCATCTAACCTCGTCAATGAGTTGTTCAACAAAACCCTGTCAATCACAGAGATGGAAAGAAACAAGGTGTTGTGCATTTTGCTTCCCTGTCCGTTCGATGTCAGCAGAAAAAAAAAGGCTCCGAATTAAAGGAAAAGAAAGAGTTGTGTCGAGATGAAGTAAAAACTCACAGTAAAACGAGGGAATTCAGTCCTGAAAATGTCATGGGTGAGATCAGATGGATATCGTTGTTCTCAAGGATCCTGCAACGGTAAGATATTGCATCAGTTACTCCATGTTTGCAGAGCGTTAATGAAAATAAAACTAAATAAAGAACAGTGTGAGAAAGAAAACCTCGCACAAATGAAAACAGGACAAATAGAAGAAAGGAAAACAGGATTGTGTGAGCACTGCAAACATACAGCCACTCCAGCTTGTGCAGGTCCATGAACACATGCGGCATCAGGACGCTTATCCTGTTGTAGCTCAGGTATCTACAATTGAACAAAAAAAATTAATGGTAAAACTTTCATTTAATTCAAAGCTAAGGATTCTGACATTTCAAACAAGTTAAAATAAAGTAAAAAGTTTCGGGACTTTTTTCAACTTAATGTTTTTATGACTGTGCCTCTAAAACCAGGCATCGATAATGACAGGGAGTTAAGAAGCATTCATTAAAATACCGACTGTGTAACAGACATTAGACATTTGGCAACATTTGGTGTCCAGAATTTATTGTTCCCCAAATCCAAACTTGGATACTTCTGGTCTCATTTAACCCCTCAAACATTTACTAGTACTTCTATGACCAATTTCTGTTTCATTGAGCAAACGTCAACCAGCTGCATTGATAATTGGATAACAGATGTTTAGACTAAAAACATGAACTTATTTTCTATATGAGGACGATGCCTTTACTTTCATGACTTAATACCATTTTGAATTCGGATATTGAGTTTTTTTTAAGTTAAGATTTCATCAAAGAGTCTACAATCCCAATCACAGAAGTTATTTTTTTCTTCTTTCTTCCTTTTTTTAGACCAACAATTAAAAAACTAAAATATTAGTTGTGTCCAGGCTGTGCATTAGTACTAGCATTAGAAAGATTAGAGGCTTCTAAACACATATACCAAATACTTATTAGAGAACTAGATGTAAAGTTGCATTTTCAAATTCAAATATGCTCAGGATTGTCAATTTTCTGCATTAAAAACAAAGCATGCATGTTTGGTTAATTCCAAATGGACTCAAGTGCGCACAGTTGTGTGTCTTGTATGTCTTTGTGTAGCTCTCTGTTAGATTTGCGACCTGTCCAGGATCAACCTCGCCTCTCACCTAATGACAAATGGGATCTGCTCCAGCTCTCCCATGACCCTGCTGGGATTACGCAGGTGTAGAAAATGGATTTACTTTCTTCAACAACCGGCAATGCTCTGAAGTAAGGTGCTTTTGGAACGGGAGATATTTCTGTATTGTCGATAACATTCCGTACTGCTTTGCAGTTAATGTTTCTGTGTAGGTTTTTTGTACTATGTGAGTAGGTGTGAAAATGTCATTTTTCTTCAATTGGCTTAGTTTGAATAAAGGATATAAAAGAGAAGAAACACTATACAAAAAAAAAAAAAAAGCAACCGACAGTTAAACTGGTGCCGTTTTTCTGTAATTGTGAATCGCTTTTGTTCATCAAGGTTTTACTGTGGGGGGTCTCCTACTCATCACTGGTGAAGGACACTTCAGGGTGTTTCATAGTGTTACAGCATCATTCTAAGTATTCCCCCGCTTCTTCATTTTTATTCTCAAACAAATCTTCAGCGCTTATGGACACGTCTGCCATTTTCTCTCCATTTCCCCTCATTTTTGGCCTCCTTTAGCTCCTGAATGTTTTCATGCTTGTATTTCATCTGGCTGTGGTCTTTCATCTCGCTTCTCCACCTGCATACCTGAGACAAATCACCAATCAACCCCGGGAGTAAATATACCTGCTAGGCTCTCAACCCCCTGGCAGCCTGTCAGCGTTTTGGTTCTGCTAGTATGCGTTGGCTGACTTCTTTTTTTTTTTGCTTTTCTCTCAGTAAATTTTCTGCTCTGCATGCTCCTCGGGTCCCCAGCTTCCGTTTGGTCATCTTTTGCCCGTCGTACTCTTTGAACACCGTTCAGCTTTGCTCCCGCTTTGCTTTTTCTGCCTTTCTCTCTGGAAAACAACAACTTGCGTTCCTCCCTTGCTGCCGGCTCAGCTCATTCATCTAGGTCTCTTAAATCTAAAAAATAAATTTCGCCATCCTGTTCTGACATAAACCTGGCTGGCCACGGCCAATCACTGAAACTCAGCATGGATTGTGCCGCTCATGCTAATCCAGTCCTGCTTTGGCAAGACTCAGCATCGAATGGAAAAACAATACTTTAAACAGTCATTATCAAAGTACTGCAGTCTAAAGTTGTGTAAGACTCGTCCAGGGTTTGTCCCATACAATAAAACAATAGAAGTAATTGATTTTCAAAGAGTAGGGTGAGCTTTAAATCGGTTGAGTCACAGAGATGTTTAAAAAATGCGATAAATAAATGAATTGGCACACAAAATAGTTTGATCAAACATTTGCTTTACTCACAGTCTTGTGAGGTTATGAAGCCCTCTGAATGCATCAGGACTCACATCTTGAATTTTGTTATGCTGCAGATATCTTTAGAAAAAGAAAAAAGAAATGAGCCGATGAGGTAAAACGTATGCTTGTTGAGTAACAAAAAACTTCTCTTACATTTCTTTTTCACCTCCTTGCAAAAAAAAAACGTTTAATTCACAGGTAGTGGTCCAGTGGACAGACATCAAAGTTTGCCGTTCGGTAATACCATGAATCCAGTTTCATATCACAGAGCTACACAGACCTTTCTTGACAGCCGAGTTAATTCTGATGTTTGCTTTGCACATCTAAGAGAGGTTTCAATCTGGTCAAACCAACCGTAGGCCGACGGTTTGACGAAGCCAAACGGTTCTTGGCGGAGGATCAGAGCGGCTCTCGCGGAGCTGTCGGTGACATTGTGTGAGGCTGATAAACAGCATAAGTAAGCACTGAATTCATTTGGATTTGGAGCAGAACAATAGCTGCTGTCGGCATTCCCAATATTCCTGTTTGCATCAGACTAAACATCTTCTTATGGCTGCCACTCAGACTTTGAATGAAAATGCTAGGCTTAACCGAATGAAGGTTTATGCTTTAAATACTATCGCCCAATTTCTTCATATCAGCTTATTCCATCTAGAATTGTGGTTTGGGCACGAGCCTTTCCTAAATGAAGCACACTCTAGATAGATGGCCAGTTCTCTTTTTTGCAGTACATTTAGTCAATCTAATCTATTTAAACCGATGGCATAAAAAAAAAAAAAACTGATTTAAATTAGTTGCAAACTTACAGTTTCTCCAGGCTCTGGTAGTTAAAGAATCCATATGCTTTTAGTCTGTGAAGTCGATTTCTTTGTAAGGACCTGTGGGGGCGCAGATGTACTTTGATCAGACAACAGAATTTATATTATGTGTACTTAACTGTAGGGTTATGCTTGAACAAATCCCTTCTGAGCCGTCCACTTATTTTTTTTAAGGAATACAAATGTTTTCGGAGCAAAATTGTGTTATTGCAAAGTTAATGAGGGCTGAATATGAGGATAAAAAATAATCAGTCAAAGTCAATATCTACACACATAAATAAAACATTGAGCCAGTTACTCAGAATTTTACGCACAAACATGAGAGGATGTTGGTATTTTAAATTGTGTTTAATTTAGAGGCTCTGGATTAACAGCCAATCCAGCTGTTGATTTCAAAGATATTAACAGATTAAACATTTTTCAAACCCCTCAGATGCTTTTATATGTGGGTTAAAGGGGTGGTGAATTTTTGGACTTTTAGGAAAACCTCAACACAATATATTTTGACTGGTCTTTTTTTAAATATATATAAAGGCATATTCTATATTTATCCATCCATCCATCCATCCATCCATCCATCCATCCATCCATCCATCCATCCATCCATCCATCCATTTACAGAAAGTGTTTCATTCTTCATTTACATGATTTTATTAACATTAACATATTCTTAGCATTATTCATACAAATAGAATATATAAAAAATTATATATATCTGGATAATTCAGTTGAGAAATAAATGCCGGTGTAGATCTGGTTTGTAATTTCCCCCCATTTAGGGAAATCTTTTGAGTTGTTTGTTTTACTTTTTTCCCAACCAAAAAGCAATATTGTGTCTTAATACACATTAAATACAAATTACCTAATCATACTTAATAAAAAGTTCCTTTTTTTTTTCTTTTGCTTTCACAACTGTTTTGTTTTTCAGACAAGGTGGTAAATGGTTGCTCTATTTCCCAGTGTTCTCCTGAAAATACAGTACAGTGACATCTCCTATTCATACTTGTGAAAAAAGACCTCTTTTCCATGACAGGTCCTCATTTCTTTCGGTGTAGGGTAATCTTCTACAACACTTCCCTCAAGTTGTGACAGTCAAACCCATTGACGGCACGTTGTAAGAGCATTGCTCGAAATGTATGTTATTGGAAAAATGAGGGGTTATTTTCTACTCACATCATGGTGACGTTTATCGCCACCACGGGGACATCTTGAAGCTGAGCGCTGTCGCAGTCCAGCTCCAGGTCTCGGCACTGGCACGACTCAGGAATGACACCCAGCACTGGGAACATGGGGAGGTAGAGAAGGAAAAAAATCGGAAACTATATTCAACAATCATCGTGCAGAGTTTAAAAATTTTTGCAAGATTTTTAAAAAATCTTAGGACAAGCACAGGTGGTTCCTGACAGTCTTGCTAAATATTCCTGAGTTAAATCAGCAGAATCATATCTATATAAATTTTAGTTTGGATAGACAATATATATGATTCAATTGATCGAAACATTTAAAGAGGGCTTTCTAGCTCCAGCTAAATAAAAATGGGGCGCATCTGAGGAAAAAATAAGTTCCAAATGAAAGGCTTCCTGTTGAAGGTCTGTCAAACTTTCATTTACAGAGATAATTACACTCAAGTCATGTCATTTTTAAAGCCATTTTTAAAGTCAACACAGACTAAAGTTTATAAGCCAAAATGCATATTTAATACAAGGGTTCCATGAGCCAGTTTTCTAGCTTAAAGGTAGCTAAAATCTATGTTTCTGGTAAATTGGTAAAAATCAAGTGATGACAGAATATCTTATATTTTGTGCTAATTTAATTTCCTTTTTTCAATTCAAGGAGATGCATGGCTTTATATTTGAAAAAGGCAAGCTGCATAAGAAAAATGTCAAGTACTAGAAAATCATAACACACAATAACAATCACTTGTAAGTCATTTCAAATAAGTTAACTAGTTGTGATTAAATAAAGCTGCAACCAATCTGAAATCGGGTGAAATTTTCCTGATCAGTCTTCATTAGAGAAATAAAATTATCACCAGCTCTGGATTCTAATGTTTTAAATAGTTGGAAACCTTTGCGTTGTAATCTTGTTGCAAATCTGCAGTTTGCACATGACCACTGCTGTCAGACAATAAATAAAAAGTAGCAGCGCCAAATATGTAATTAAATGTTCAATTAGGCTCCTTAGTAGTTAGTAGGTAGTCCTTCAAGGCAGAAGAGGGGCTCAAGAATGAGCGAGGGCATAATCAAATTAGTTATCAACATGCCATTTGCACCCATATTAGTGATAAACAACATATGTCAATTTCTTTGGAGAAGAGAGGGTGTTTGGAACGTGCTCTGATTCTAAAGCGTCTATTTCAGTTTCATGAATTCAGTTCTTTGCCATTTGAAACCCTGAAAAAGACCTGAAATCTCAGTGATAAATAGACTTCAGGAAATCTTCTGCAAAGTGACAGGAAGAAATAACTTAAGCATCAGAGAGGGGAGAAAGAGAAAGCTGCAGACATAACTTCATTTTCTCTGTCGTTGGAGTATACTGAGGAAAAATCCCTCGTATGAAAAACCACATTGTTTTCAAAATCCTTTGATTCTGTGAATTATGTTTTCATCATAGGTAAAAGAACAGGTGAGAAGTTCAGAGTGTCATCTTCTGTGACAAATAGAAAATGTTAATCAGTTAACTATCACACAAACATATACTTGTATACACACATTTGTGTGTACACGTACATTTTCATGCAAATATATAATCAAAACCTTTTTAAAAAGTGCTGGAAGGTCTCAAAAGCAACACATAATTTATACATTTGACACATTAGAAAAAAAGGTTTAATATGTCAATTTCTTTGGCTAAATTATTTGAGTTTCCTCAAAGAACTAATACTGTATGTCCCACCAAGAATAGCTAAAAACTTGTTTGATGTATAAGTTAACACTACGGAGAGAAATGTACAAGCTTTTTGAGCTGAGACAGGGGTGTTTTTTGGTATTTTCAGTGGACAGAAATACTAAAAAGAGGCAAACATTGAGCCTCTCTCTCATTTTGAGGGACCATGCATCACATTTGAAAATCACGAAGAGTCTTAAAGCCTGTGACTTCTTCAAAGCTGAAACGTTACAAGCTTTTCCGCACACACTGAGTAGTAAACTAATAGCTATAAAAGTTGCAGCAACAAGTAAATTGAGGTTATACGCTCTTAAAGAATGAACTAATTTGAAATTAATTGCATTTTTCCACAGCAGAATTAAAAAAACTCCACCACAAATCCAGTCTTTGACAGTAAACTACAAAAATTTGATTTCCAAAAAGGCATTGGAGTAATGCTTAAAGTCTAAAGCTCAGTCACATTTTGACTGAGTCATTTGAAATCCATTTAGTTGGAGAGGACAGGACAATTTTGCGATAATTCTGTGACCGTCCAAATGCACATGGACCTGACGGCGTTGAGTGTAGGCAGTAATGGTCGGAGCTTGGCTTTTCACAGATTAGAAACGACAGAGTTCGGCTGTAATTGAGGGAACGACAGCTGGCTTGAGAAATCTTTCACGGGCAATAAGTTGATTTGGGGTGCTAAAACGGACAGCTAATGTCACTGTTCTCCATCCAGTCTCCAACCCGTCTGCGTCTTCTACAACACGCAACCGGTCGAGCTGTGGAGCAAAAATTTCATGTGATACAAGTTATTAATAAGAAATAACTGACCGCTCTTGTCCCAGAGACCTCCCCCCAGACTCCTCTCATCACAACTCAAACATTAATTGGTACATTTCTTAGAAGTATGGAACTGTTTAGGGAATTTTACACTGCAATGTCCCTTAAAAAAGTCACAATCTTAATACCCCTTCACAAACAATGTCTCCGAATTGAGACACCCCGCGGGTCTTTTTTGACCACAGACACTTTTTGCCAAATGAGATTTGACCACTTTTTTTAGTGAGGGTGAAGCTACTAAGAGAACTGAGTGAAAATTGGGGCATGTCCCATGAGCATGGCCAGTGGAAGCTTCGGAAGGTGTCTCTTTGCCTTTTTGTAAATCACCAACACAGATATAATCTGGCTCTTGGGTATAATCTTCCCACTCTTTTGAAGATCGGCTGTCACCAGCTATCAAAGCTGATAACCAGCTCCTGAGAATAACTACAAGCTCTGTCACACAAGCCGCATCCGAGCTGTTTCTGGCTTATGGCAGACCGAGGTGTATCTGAGCTCATGATTGCATCTGCAACCTAATACGCAAGCTGAAATGGCTTACGAGGTGGTTCGGCAAGTTTATTCCACAGCACATTTCGTGTCCAAGACAATTATAAGTGCTTCACGAATTTAAAAACAGAAAACAAGACAAGAAAAAGAATACAAATTTGATGGATGAAAAGTCGAAAGGTGCAGATAAAATACATCCAATTTCCATCTGCACAGCTAAACAGAATCGTTGTCAGCCTAGATTTAAATGTTGTCAGAGTTGAGGCCTGTCTCACGTCTTCAGGAAGACTGTTATAGATTTTAGTAGCATGGAGCTGAAATGAAGCTTCACCTTGTTTAGTTCTGATTCTGGGCTCCATCAGGAGACCAGAACCGGAGTTTCTCAAAGTCTGAGCTGGATCATAGGGCTCTAACATGGTAGAGGCCGCCCTCCTCTGTGTTTTTTCAACCAATCCTTTCTCTTGAAGGCTGTAACAAGCCCTGATTGAATATTTGATGTCTATCAGGACATCAGCTTTCTAAGTTTCCTGCAATAACTATAGATTTGATGATACCTTCAGACCACAATTATATGAAAATATGAAAAAATCGTGACTCAGAATCAATGCCTGGCTGGGACAAGTAAGAACACCTCAAAATGCAAAGATCAAATAAACGTAGCCATAACTTTATAATAGTAGTTGTATTGTCCATTCATCTATCCGTCCATTTGCAATACATTCATTCTGAGTGAGGTTGGAGTGTATTCCAGCAGTAACTGTATTATCCTATTACAAATGTTAACAGCCTTTTTCGTTTTTGGTCGAGCGACAGCTTTCACACAATATCAACAAACAAAAATGTGCCACAGTTAAAAAAAAAATAAAGCCAGGAGGAAACAATAGTGAGTCAAATCCCGTTTTTTATACGGACATATCCATTTGTCTTACAATAGAGAAATAATTCTGGTTCGGAGAAACTTCTTTGGGTTTCATTTTAAGATTTGTGCAGCATCCTGTGTGATCCTCACAGATTTTATCAACCGTTCACAGATTAAACGGCAGGATGCACAAAGTATCGTTTTACTCTGAAAAACTGTACGACAAATAAATGAATCCATACGAACCATAGTTGTGAACCATTCACAAACGCAAGCTCTGTGACTCGTTGAGTGCTGGAATAACAATATTTTTTTACTGCCCAATGAATACCGACTAATAGATCCCAGAGATGGAACAGCACGAACAGAGGTGATCATGTCACTGGTCTGAGACTTTGCCTGCTGAGAATCTTAATAGAATGCAAAGAAAATCCCTGGCATCACGCCATGTTAGACTCCATATGGTAAGTCAGTGAAAAGGAAGCGATTTACATAAAACAAACTGCACTTCTCTTCTGATCATTAACTGTAATGACATGGCCAGCTAGAACGGGGAGACGGCTTTGAGCTCACATTTCAAACACACACAATCTGACCTCTCACAGTTATTGTGAAGCTGCTCTCATGGAACTGAAAAAAAAATGCACGTTATACAAGTAAATATGGACGCCTAACATTTACACTTGAGGTTGATAATCTTTCCGGCTGAGGATGGATCACTGCCAAACATGAATCCTATATGAATATGGTCAGAAGTTCTTATAGGACTGTCATAGAAATGGACACAGGCTCTCTACCTTCATTTTTTAAAACTGTTCTAACGGGAAGCTAGCATCTAATTCCATACATCTAAAAGATGGTATGGAATCTCAGTGAGAGCGTATTGTGAAAGACTACATTAGATTCCAGCTTGGGTAGATGGGTAACAACCATATTCTGAAAAAAGGATGCACTTCTATGTGTTAAGGTAAGGGAAAAGAAAGAATAAAATTGCAAAAATACAGTATGATGGCATGAATAAAACCAGGACCTGACAATCTCATTAATTCTAAGTTGTGTAACTCAGAGCAGATGGTGAATTAAATCTATAATTATGTAAACAATTATGCTGCTTAAAGCTGTCTGATCTTTAGATAGAACGAGTGTGACAAACCCTCCCGACTAGAATTAATGTGAGAGCCGATTTGGGGAAACGCTGCTGCTGATTTTACAGACGTGCATCAGCTATGAGCTAAGTCCGCATTGATTTACAAAAATCGGAAAAATGCATAATTCTTTTGGAGAGGCAGGGCTATATATAGGCAGAAAAACATCCAGTTTTCCCAGATAGAAATTTTTCCCTTTTAGACCCATAATGCACTCCAAAAATGAACAAACTGAAAGAAAAATTTTAGGAGCATGTTAATCCAAAAGAAAAACAATGTTGTTGCAATGCTTTTTCATTTAATTTACGAGTGACTTAGAATTATTACAGCTTCTGTAAGGATATCAGGGCTGGAATGACTAATGATGTACCTTCTTTGTCACAGTGGAGCTTAAGAAGCCTCTTGCTGAACGCCGTGTCTTTATCACTGCGCAGTGCGGAGGATGGACAGTCAGGGTTATCCGTTATGTTCAACAACTTGGTTCGCTACTTGATTTTTGCAGAAAAAAAAAGTAGGAAGGATGCATGTAGGTGACTGCAGAGCAAGCCAAGCTGCATTTTGTGGAGTTTACTAACTCAATTCAGAGCACCAACACTAGCTGCAGGACGTGGAAAAATTACAGGTAGTCTTAAAAGGTGATTATTGCTTCTTAAAGTAAATCTCTTTCAGTTTCTGAGTGACTGTCATGATGTAAGGTGTCCGAGTACCTGTTATAAAGTCATTGAAGTACGATGGATGGGAATTTTTCTGTGTAGTTTAACTCTATTTTCCAGCTTGTTCACCTGGCTGCTTCGTAAATACAAACTTAAGGCTGAAGCACAGAACGCCTGAGTGTGTCGTTATGTTACGGGAGATGTTGATGAGGCTTTTGTGAAGGCCAATAACTTAAGTGGCCGGTGACATTTTTGGAAGTGTGATGGGCAGGATGGGAGTGCAGGTGGGGCGTGAGGTCTGAGTCCCTGGAGGGAGGTGAGGAGCTCGCTCGGTGTTAATCTGAACCGAAGCTGCAGAAAAACCACGTTCAGCTCATTTGGCCCGTCCACACTCCCACCAGTCTGATCTCCACCTTCACATCCGAGCCTGCGATCCGTCTCATCTGAGACCACCCAAATTGTTCTGCTGGAGTTATCTTTATAATATGTTTCCCCGCAATCGTCATTGCCCCTCTCTCTTATCTTCCGCTTTCAGCTGTTGAACAGCCCACTGTCTCCCTCCCTGAAGGTTTTCTTTTTCATGTTCGGCTATTTTTTTCAGATCACTGGTGATCCAGAGCTTGTTACTGGGGAGCGCCTCACTGTCCTCGCTGGGATGATTCTGCTCACAAACAAGATAATTTACTCCGTCACATTCACCGACGTCCATTTTGTTGTGACTTGCAGAGATATTTCCTGTTTGTTGCTTCAAATTGGGAATTTCCAGAGACCGCTTCTTTTTATCTTTTATTAAATCACATATTGCATTGGGAAAATGGCCGTATAATTGGAGGTGCAGAGAAATAGCTGGTGGTTTATTTCCCCAAAGGTGCAGCAGGAAGACGAGCTCCACCCATCGTTCAGGTTTGTGTAGAATTAAAACCCATCCTACCTTAATTATCTTTAGTGGAGCAGTTATCCCCGTGTGTTTGTTTTCTCACAGTCCTTATTTATCTTTATTTCAACTTTGTCTCTGAAATAAAGTCGTTAATGATGATAGACTGTTGAAAAAATGGAATAGCAACTGGGACAGAGAGTTGGTCGAAATATCAGAAATGTCCATGGATGGGGAGGAGATGAGCCTTTAATAACCAATGAGGGAAAAATTCCACCATCTATTGACGAGTATGAAAATGATTCCTTTCGAACATCAAGTCAGCTTTGAAAAGAGAAAACTATTCTGTACGTTTCATTATTGTGCACAACTGCATCTTTGTGTGTGAATAAAAATAGAATGATGATGATGATCCTAATTGTCAATAAAATAATAGTAATAAGGCAAGAGGTTGGCCCTGGATATTGTCAATCTGGCTGATGACAAGGACAAAGACAACCTAAAAATCTCTGTTCATGACTTTTGACGCAATACATCTATTATAGCCAATATATCTTATTTCCTTCCAACACAGAAATCTGTTTATATCGATTTGATGAGACTCAGAAATTCAGCCTTAAGCTGTCTCTTACAGGTTTTTAAGTGTGTTGTGGCACTTTTTCTACAAAGCATGTTAACTGTTATTTGTCTCTGCGAGGAAAAGAAGCAGCCATCAAACCGCCTCTAAGGATGGCTTTCAAGCTTTTGAAAAAAAAAAGCACAAACAAAAGTAGCCATATGGTGTCACACAAGCTTCCTTTGATGCCGCCTGAACTAAATCTCTTCTGTCTTTGGGGCAAATCACCTTTGAAAGAGATTTACTTACAGAAGCGCATCCTCAAAATCAAACAAAACATGACTGGAGTGACAGCAGGGACACCTCGGAGACCACCAGAGCGGTGACCTCTGCATTGTGTTTTCCACTGTCTGTTTCTGATGCCAGCAGGTATTGTTCAGACTGAATAAAACATTAAGGGAAAGAAACAAAAACGGCTTTACCTTCTGCTTTTCAGCTTCATACGGCTTTAATACTTATATGGAAACTCTATGTCCTCATTCTCGACGTAAAGGCAATGGTACAAAAAAGAAATGGTAAGAAAAAAAAGGCAGAAATTCCTCCCACTTTGTAAATTTAATAGGTTTCTCTGTGCCGAAAGCAATAAAAAAATGACGCAGAATTATATCTGGTGGTGACATGAACAGATCACATCTGAAACCAAAACTGAGACAGTAGGCATTTCTGTGGGAGAACTACCCTGAACCCCATGCTCCAAACACAAATCTGAGCAGGACTCCACTCCAACAGCTCCTGATCCTTCAAATACTCATTATATAGACCAATCCAAACTTGTTTCCTTCAGACAATGTCTACATCTTTCTCTAAATGAATTACAGATATAAGCCAGGATGTAACTTGTAAAAAAAAATAGAGAAGACTTTTTCATTTTTCCCACAAAGTTATTTCTGAAAAACAATCCTGTACTCACAGCATATGTTCGACTTGGTCCGGACGTTGTAATTTGGCATTCCGAAATATTTGTCAAAAAGATGGGGCCATCCATTGTTATCTCCTGGAGAAAGGAAACATGACACAGCAACACAAATGTGTTAATTTTCATCAATAAAGGTTGAAATTTAGTGAAGAGCAGCATTTCACATAGGCTACTTATTAAGATTGTTAAATATATATACATAACATGCTAATAAATATATAGAATAATTAAATTACCAACTCTATATGTTGCACCAAAACTTGAATAATTTGTATTCAAAAACCTATTGAAAAGATTTTCTGGAAAGGTTTTGTTTTCTACTGACAAAGCTCACCAAAGTTAAAACAGTCTTTCTGTTCTCTTCTGTTCCATTTGAACCCATGTGATCGTTTTCTCTTAACCGCAGATGCAGATTGCAAACAAACTGGCATGGAGGCAGCAACTTTCTGCTTGACACGGTTGGCCAGACCAGAATAAGACACAAAAGTTTAACAATAGCAATATTGGTCACGCTTGAGTGATGCTGATAGGGGCACAGTCAGTACAGAGCAAGGAAACACAATCTGTATATTTGTATATTCTGGGAGGCAAACAGAGACGCACAACCAACAAAACTGAACCTTGAAAAACAATGAGAACACTCATTAGAAACATCTATTTCAAAGTTGACATGACATGCTACAGTTAAAGACAGGTAAAAAATATATGAAAACAAAGAAAAAAACACGTGGACTGGAAGTCAGTGGTATGTTAATAGCAAATAGACACTAATGAATAAATGATTGATAGACACATTACACCAATGTATTCCACATATATCAATTTGTATTTTTCCAATACCATATTTTTGGGGCTCATTCTACAAGAAGGATATGGACAAAAGTTATTTAATTTTCCATTTTGGTCAAAATGATTTTCAAACGTCTCTATACAAAATCTTGACCTTTATCTAATCTGATTTTTTTTCCTTGAATTATGAAGAATTTGCACTTGTGTAATGACTTAAACTGTAAAGCCGAGCTTGCAGGTACACAGAAGGACTATAAGATAAAGATCTATCTGTGAAAACGCAAAAATAATGCAAACCTAAAATCTTTTGTGTTATTTTCAAGTGGAAAGGCAGCCAAAGAGCGTGCAAATAATAATATACATGAAGCAAATAGCAGGTCTAAAAAGGACAAAACCATCGCCTTGCTCTCTGAATGCATCAGCTCGACATGACTGATGCTGCCAGTGAATACATATCCTCATTTCACACGTGACGTTTTACTTTGAGGGGCCTTCACCTCTGAGTAAAGAAGGTTAATTGCTCCGGGGATAAAAAACTGTTCTTCTGTCTGGCGGAGGGACGGCAACCGGGTTGAACTGGTGATGTTTTCATAAAACTGTCAAAACGATGTGAAGAAAATCTTTTAGAACCGTACAAATGAGGAAATAGCACTGAACAAAACAGGGTTAAAGGGCGAAGTAACAACTGTGTTATTAACATCCGACAGAGGCTGAGTTCGGTGTGGCTCATTATTGCGACACGTTGCTCCCTCAAAACGAGCTGACTGTGGGTCTCTGCCCTGCTCAAGTCAATAATCCGCTTTGTAAAATAAAGCTAAATGGCCTCACCTGATACAATCAATGCCCCCCACAAAAGCACAGTTCCTGTCAGTAGAGGAGGACGGCTACATGGTAAAACCGAGTTGTAGAATTAGAGATGCCCCTTGTAATGACTAACACAGTGTATGTTGCAGGTCTTGATGAATGGGTTTCTGTTGGTGTTGCTCATGAATAAAAATTGTTGTGGGCTGGATAATAAAAGCATTCAGACTCACAAATCGCTACTGTGCGTTAGAAAGTAGAAAAGCACTTGATTATAAATTGAAATTGATTTTTTTTTTGCCTCCACTCATGTGCAACTTCTTTTTTAAAAATCCTTTTGTCAGGACATGCCCTCCTAAAGCCTCTGTTTTCTAAAGTAATCACTATTGTATCAGCTTCATCAGTGGCGTTCTATAAGACCTCCTCTATCATGTGGACCTGAAAACCTCCTTGACGCATACATTTCGATAAGAGGTTCAGTGGTTTTACTGGAATAAAAAGATAAACTTTTTTCCTGAGCTCAACCATGCACAAAACCTTCACTCTGTACTTGAACTCATTTTTACCCAAAACCTTCACATTTTCTACAAGTGTATGAACTGCAAATACCAAAGCGGTTGTAAAGGGTTTCTTAAAAAAAGAAAAGAAAGAAAAAAGCAAGCAATCAACGCTTCATTTTTACGAAGATGACTGACATCGTCTCTCATTACCAAGAGTGAATGATTAAAGACATGGCAGAAAAACAGAGGCGGAGGGTTCACAAGTTGGCTTTGTGCACAGATTCTAAAAACAATATTTGAGTATTAGACTAAACGTTGCATCTAGATTGTGTCCACGGTGGTGCTGGTTATTTTCTAAAGATAATCAAACACAAAAAATCCCATTGAAGAGACTTGAATCTTTACAATGATTCTTTGGAGTCTTTTATCGGGCTTTGACTGACTCTTTCCGTGCATCAAGATTTCAGAGATTCAAAAGTGTTTCTCAGACCAGTTCTTTACTTGCTTAGAAACATGCAAGGACAGGCAGAGATAAATCTTTCAGTCACTGTGCGGCTGAGATTTCCTGGAGTACTGTTAATTTATAGGTTCCAGCTGTCAAAAAAAACTCAGGGATTTCAAAGACATTTCGTATCTATATAATAGGGATTAAAGTGTCAACAAAATTTATCAGCAATTTTTATGGGCCTTCTTATGTAAAAATCAATTACTATATTGCATTGCTTGGTATAATTAAGATAAGGATGACGCTTTGCTTCAATGGCACCGCAGCCACTGAGGGAATGAGAGGAGTCACTCCAAAAGACTATTAATGAGAATCTTTGGCGTTGCCCGCAGAGGCAGAGCTTCAGTTTATTTAATCAGTGAAGCTTTAGGAGAAGGAATGCATGTGGAATTCCCGCTTGCATTTGTGAAATATATTAGATACTTAGCGAGAGCGCTCATGGTAAAAGTCACAGAAACTAGCAGCAGAAACACTATAGAACAAACAGCAGTGCCATACCAAATAATGCCTTAAGCATTTACGAAACCCACCAGAAGCATATCTGACCAAAATGAGCCCACAAAGAAAATAGGATGCAATTTGTCAGTAACTGAAGCACAAATAAATTGTGATGTCTTGTAGTGTAGCCACCCTTATTTTCCCTTTACCTCTCTCACAAAAAAAACAAATACCAATTTGAATAATTCTTTATCCTCTCACAGACACATATTAAGATAACTAACAATACGTCTAATGACAGTTTTAGGAATGAAGGAGCCTTTTTAAAATGGGGCATTATTACTTTCCAGAACGTGCCGTCACGCCATCAGAGTTTCTCACTGCTGAACCATCTCCCATGTTTTTAATTACTTAAAAGGTCTGTTTCTTTGAAATTTGCTAAGGTGCTTAATAGAACTTGGTCACTCTCCAAATGGGTCTTCATCCAAATGCTGAATAGCCGGGAGAGGCTTCAGGAAATAAGGAAATTCTGCTGACGTTTTGCATGATCTCTTCCACTGTGAGACACTCACTCTCACCTATGTTACTGATATCATCCATTCTCTGTCATAAGGTTGTATTCGGATGAATTTAAACAGGAAAAATAACTTTTGCGGTCATTTAAAAGTATATATAAGAACAATACTTTGGTTTCATATGTATCCGTGTGTGTCACTGAGGTGTTTGAGTAAGTTTTGCCGTACATATGCACAGTTGGCATTAAGTTGGCAGCCTGGTGGTGACAGAAAAAAAGCCAATAAAGTGAATAAATCGTTTGAGTTTACAATGAAACTATGTTATTTTCAAAAAGATTTCTTTTTGTATTGCTTTTTTGTCATATAAATAGGAATGTATGCATTTTAATGAGAGTTTGGAGAAAGTGTTTAGATTAACTGAGGCCCTTCTAGTTGTCCACTAATTACAGTTTAAAGACTCGTAGCCTGGGCAGAGGGCCCTGTGGTGTGAACATAAATCCAGTTCCAGTAAATCAAGTATGCACTGATGGACCACCCACATCAATGATTTATTATGTTACTTAAGAAGTCACAGCTACTGAACCCTACCTTTATCCATATCTAGTCAAATGGGATGTGGGTGGAAATGGAAGTTCCACCTGAGGGGCTCAGATAAACATAGATAATGACCAGCTAGTAGGAAATAGTGCAATACTGTCCCTCCATGGTGTCACGCTTTTTTCTCCAGAGAGTTACTAGTAGTTTTGTGATTGTAGCCAGCTCAATAAGCTTTTGGAAATAATGTAATGGGCTTCTTTTGGTTGTCTAATCATGAGTCAAAACAGTTTTAAAAGAATTGTGTCACATCTGTGTCTGGAAACATTGAAATTTATATTATATGGAGACTTATTTAAGCCCTTATGTTTTCTGTTACCTGCACATTAAACATCCACGTGCCTGCCTATTGTAGGAATTAACTTACTCCTGTTAGAAACTTTAACCACTTCTGGGTTATTTACTTTTGACTGAATACGAATCACAAAAATGTCTTCAAACAGCTGATTTGGTTGCTTTGTAAATTCCTTTTTCATCTTCAAAGATGACTCCTTTTCTTTCATATTCGGTGTATAAAGATATTTACGCAATTACTTTACTGTGGAAAACAGCCAGTTCATGTTCATTATTTTCTGGTGCAAAAAAACTTTGCTCATGTTTTCAACCAGTGAAAAAAAAAGAAAAAAACAGGTGCTGGAGCCATTAAACCTAACCTTCCTTTTGGAATTTAGATTTAATGGTTAGCATCTCACTATTGAGGAGAAGCAGTACTTCAAAGGAAGTGCAGGGTTGCACACACAACGATGGTGAAATAGTTTGGTGTGACATGCACATCTCACAAAGCACAATTCTGGTGAATCCATTAAGTAGGATAAAAGTAGCTGTGATTAAAGGATATGCTCCTGCCTGGCACTAATTGATAGGCCCGGCTCAGATGTGAGTGTTTAGATACAAATACGGACAAACACGAGGTGCTCAACGGCCACAACCTAATTT